TGCTCAATTAAACGATATCGTGCAATACCCAGATGCCAGGATGGAACTGTTTCACAACTTCTGTGAGTTCGGCAACACAATCCTATTTTGTCTGCTCATGGAGGAGGCACTCGTGCGATCTAGTCCATGCTGCCGCATTCCAGAACATCTTGCCAAGGCCGTTTTGTAAAGGTAAAGATTCTCTCCATCTGAAGCTTGAAATGTCCGAAAAGTATACGAAATATGAAACTTTCAACGGATAGTCCAAGATCCCCTCCAAAAAATGTCCAATTTTTAGAGGAGTCCTGAAAAGTTAGAGAATTTTGTCCAACTTTGAGAAGCAAGTGGATTTTGCTGGGGAATCTTGACATTTTTTCTTTCAGCAAAGAATTATATTTTTTTCAAATTCATGAGACTGCAAGCAAAGAAAAATTTTATCCCTGTTCTCAAAAAAAGACAAAGTCTTAACTCAGAAAAAATGCGGTATGTTTTCCGTTCAAAATCTTTTGCAGATAACGATTCACACAGTACAAAGTTCCAAAATCAAGTCCTGAATAAGATATGAATAAATATTTTAAATTAAATAAAATGGAAGTCTAATAATACAAATGACATCACTTGTATTTTCGCCGTTTAACCAATGTTAATTGTAAACTTCAATCTTGTTCAGGAGTTGACTTCTAGACTTCTCATTGTGTAATTTGTTTACCTCGCTGATATCAAAGAGTAAACATGCTGCACAGTACTTAATTTCATAGCCTTTGTAAAGGCTGATTATCGTATTTCGCTCTTGTGTTTGAAAAAGTGATTTTTTAACGGCAATTTTCTGATAATTTGCTTTATTTTTCAGAGGGTTAGAAGCTAGAAGTCAAATTTAATTCTCTTCATGTGGTCATGCATGTAGAAAAACTTGGATCTGCCGAGGTGAGTAATTTATAAGCACCATTTCTCCACCTTTTTATATACAGTTCGGGCCACTTCTTAGTGTTTAATTTTTTCATTTGTAATTTAAGTTTAAGTTAGCATCCTATCAAAAAGAAAAATTATGCTGCGGCTTACCTTTAGATACGACGAAAGTAACTATATAATGATTCTTGTCGTTCTGTGTGAAAATTGGACAACATCAAATGTATTTAGGCTGGTTCCAGTTTTAATCGGTCCAATTAACATGACAATATCAATTGTATTTATCAAATGAGATCCACAATATAATACATAGTGTGTCCCAAAAGTACTGAACTTTTTTTTTTTTTGTCGGGTGAACGGTAGCAGATATCAAAATGCGGTTTGTGTAGAGTTAATGTTCTACTAAATACTGATAAAACAAGACCAATCTGAGCTCTCGAAGTCCGAAAATGAATAATTTACAGCGTTTTGAATATGATTCACTGTCAAGTGAGTACCCTCTCTTGATATTGAATTTATAACAGGGGGATGTCCAGCTTAATTCCAAACTACTCCCAATTCTCCCCCCTCCCCCCTCCTTAATGTTACTTACCGCGTCTCTACTTAACTTGGGCCCTTTTCATTTCTTTAAAGAAAAGCATAACATTGATTTTCTTTAAATTATGGTGCAGTACTGATTATGATGTGTAAAAAATTCATAGACAATGTTGAACGGTTCTGTTCTTTTCAAAGCTCGAATCAGAGAGGCGTTGCTGCTGTGTTGCACTGTCCAAATATGGATGTGTTGCAATACTTTTCATTCTTTGTTTCTTTTAATCTCATCAAGTTGTATGCCCTGGTATTTTTCTGCAATAATAACTCCAAATAATCTAGTGCAAGTAAATGCGATAAAGTCTTCAGCGACCTCCCTCCAAAAATGGGTGTTCTACTTCACTCATTGCTCTTGCAGGATGAGACCCCTTTCCAAAGAGTGTTTAATTCAAGTTAACATTTTAATTCTTGTGTCGTCTTCCAGGGAACTTTTCAGTGAAGGTCTCAACTGGGCTGGCTACACGATGTTTGTTCTTCTAATACAGCAATGCAGGTTCAAAGCCCTCGACTTCTGTTATCATATTTTAAGAGCCCAGAGGGTTGACGGAAAAGACGAAAACGTCAAAGGCATTGTAAGTCCATTTAATCATTTTTAATTTTTTTTTTGTCGTCGCCCCCCCCCCCCTCCGTTTTGAAGTAATAAGCAGTGGCTGAATACCAAAAATATATGTGTGTAAAAATGAAGAGATCTTTCATTTCTATTCATTATTTGCCTATGTAATAACCCATATTTATTATTTTGATTTTTTTTTTCCTTTTTTCATGAATTATTCTTCAGTTTTTTCTAAGAGGTTGATGAGTAATCACTAATTCTTTTCACGTATGAGAAGTAACAAGTTGACTTCTTCAGCTCTTGAAAACCAGGAATTGTCAGGAAGTTCCATCAGGTCAGGGAAATCTGGAAAAAGTCATGTAATTTTATGGTAGAAATAAGGAATTTGAAAAATTTTGAATATTGAAATCTGAAAAAATATCACTGGTGTCCATACAATCGAAAAGAAGCTCATCAGTTTGGTTAGGAGCTCAATCCCCGGAGTTACGTTTTCGTCTTTGTAGAGAAATTAACCAATGCCAAAAATGTTTCACTTTCAGTTCCAGTGTGAAAATAGTCGACATTGAAAGTTAGAAAATTGTAGTCAGGGAAAACCTGCAAAAGTCAGGGAAAGGACTCCGCACACCTTTTATGGGAAGCTACACCATGACCGATTGCCTTATGACTTATGTAATTCGATTCTCCTCAAGATGCTGATCTAAAGTTATAATTGCGCCAACTTTCTACGATGCACCGTTTTCGCAAAAAATCAAAGAGAAGATTCAATTATTCTGTGATAAAAAGCCAGAAAGATTCCTCATTTCAGTGCTTGATTGACAAGCAGCTGTGTGTCAACAAAGAAATCATGGGGACTCCCGCGCCGAGTGGCAGTCTTATCTCGGATTCCGACCATGCTCGACCATCACAATCTAGCAACCTGATTATGAGTGACCCATTGTGACTTCTCTGCCGTGATTCATGGTCTGGACAGCATTGTTGCCAGATAGTGCTGAAATTTCAGTGCATTTCTACATTTAACTAGATATCAAACGTCCATATCCTTTCTCACAATCTAGCAACCTTGCTGAGCAGGCATTCCAATACATAACTGCATGCAGTGGAAACAACAACAAAAATAAAGATTTGTCCAAATAAAAGACAAATCTTGTCTAAGAAAGATTAATTGATCTAGAGTGAATACACCTAAAATCCTTAATTATCTAAAGTATCCATCTGTTTCCTGAGCTAGGTTTTCTGAGTGTTCATAATTTCTTGTTTCAGAACCTCAAACGGATGGTGGACCAAATCCGCAGGTTTCTGGTGCTGAACAAATTCGCTACATTAAACAAGTACCTGAAATCAAGCGAACACAAAAGTGTCTCAGTCGAACATGTCTGCTGCTTCCTGCCACCGATTTACTCCTCCCTTGCAGCGCATACACGCTACTATCGATCGGAGAACCTGCAGTCACAAACCGTGCATAACCTCTAAATTCCCATGCCGGAAGGAATTTGTGATTTATCAGATTAATGTAAACAGTACAGTTTTGTCAATAATAATCTCGCATGGCGAGCTGAACTCCACTTTGGTGACTATATAAATATATTATCCTGCTATAAAAATCATCATGCTGCAAAATGGAAGTACCTATCTTACCTACCTACACGACAACATTTCAACGGTATAAGTCTGCAATCACATATCTTGTTTGCTGTGTCTGAAAATCTCCACCTCTATGTTATTTTCTTACAGGAGAACAAATTGACACCATTCCTTGAAGTTTATGCAGAATTTTCTTCGCACAGAGAAGAAAAATCACGGCAGTTTTAAAGAATTGCTGTTGAGTAGTTTTCCAGTTAAAAAATAAAGTATGACAGGAAGTCTAAGACGTCGCAAACCAAGTTATGTGATTGCCAACTTACACGGTCGATTTGCTCAACGAGCGCTTGCTCTCAGTCAAAATTTTGAGTGTTTGCGCAGCTTTGCTTGCATTCTTCAACATTCTCTCCCAAATGTGGATAACAAAACATGTAACTAATGCAATGGATCATTGTCGTGGTTGTTCTAACTGCACAATTTTAGTTTAAATTTGATTCCTTTCTTATCTGATACTGCAATCACACGCTGAATGTGGCTTAAATGTGGCTTGAATGTAGTATTCATCAGTCCGATGCCTGAATTTTGCGCGTGTCGTGCTATATTCAGCAACGAATCTCAGCGACCATCGGATAATGTCGGATTTGTCTGAACTACTCGAATAGATTCGATACACATCTGGATGGAAATAAGTTGAATTTGTGAAATTTCAGCTGTTGAGCAATGAGAATGACTGTTGACTTCCTTATTCAGCTGCCAAATTCAGCATGTGATTCCGGCCTAACTCAATTTACTTACACTGATATGCCTGCCTCACATGATGAATTTAGCAGCTAAATATGGGAGTCAACAGTTGACATTTTGTAAATTTGAGTTTTCTCAACAAAGTTTTACATCGAAATTAGTCAAATAGTTCAGACGAACTGATTACTGCTGAGCTCCGATCTTTATTGGTACCCTTAATTTTGAGCCTTAAATGCAAAATTCAGGCATCCATGACTTACACATTCAGGAAATTAGGCAGGCCTTAAATACAAGCGATATTTTGAGAGATCACTGTGGTACCAGACGGAATGTTTATTATTGATTTCAAAAGAAATTGTACTAAAAGAAATTACTAACTTTGAAAATGAGGTCTGTCCCAGCAGATCAATTATTACAATCTAGTGAATTAAATGGAATTGAAGACATAGTTAGTTTGTGCATTAAAAGATAGAACTTATGCTGTAGCATATTATGACTTATTCTTTTTTTCCTAGTTTGCACTTTTGAATGGTTAAAGTCATATGTACATGACTTTCAGGATAAATTTGAACGGTCATTGTCTACGGTTCATATGGACATGGAATGATATTCTTAGCTATGGGGAAACAAGACTGAATGACAAAAGGCAAGATATGAGCAAGATTTTTGAAGGCTTTAATTGATAAGATTTCATTTTCATTTTACAACACAATCAAATATTACTACATATGAAGGCAATGGTGACACACTCTTGATAAGTGATGTGACAAAAACTGATCATTAGATAAACAATGTTGAGCATCACTAGAGGTAGACGAGTTTAACACACAACGTTGAAGATTTAAATACACATATCATGATTGCGGGATTATCCATAGTTCGCCAACTATGCAGCTTCTGTGAACACATAAGATACTTTCCTTAGGAAAAGAAATTGTAATTGTATTTTCCAAGTGAAGACAGTGCTCTGCCTTCTACAGGCAAAGCTTAGAATTACAGGACTGGGCCATTGTGGCGCCTAAAAAAGTCGACATTCCAAAATTGAATGGGCCAAAATGTGTATGTAAAAAGTTAATTAGGATCCTAAAACAAGGGTTTTATTCCTGCAAAGGTGTCGCCAACAATTGTAAGGGGAAGGCAGAATGCTGACTGCAAAGATGCATTCCAATATGTAGTTATTTACAGCAGACACTTGATATGGTGTTTGCTCAACACTTCTATTGAGTCTACAATTGACTTAATGAAGAATCGTTAGAAATGTCAGTACGTGGAGTAATTAACAATAATTACAGTAATATTTGTGGGTTGTTTCCTTGTTAGACTTGTACTTTTGAACAGGAGAGTATTCTGTAATTTTGTTTCTTGCAGTTTAGAAAATAGAGAAAAAGTCTGAGGAATGAAAAGAGGTTTTCTACTTAACATGCTATCAAAACGCTGTGCTTGAAAAGATGGGGGGCAGCTGAGTGCAGGAACAGACAGATGATTGTGAATATCATCAGTTGCGGATGATTCAAACAAATTTTACCCTCTGCCGATTGCACAGCCTCTGTGAACAAACAAGGAACTTTTTTGGGTAACAATTTTAATATTCTTCACATGAAAAGATGAATTTCATTGGGTATTTTAGGCAGACACCTGAAATGGTGATCATTCAACTTTTCTCTTGAGTCTTCAATTGACCTGATGAAGAATCTTCTAAACTTCCAGTAGTTGGAGTAATTAACTAAGATTACAGTAGCATTTCGACGGGGTAAGTCGGCAATTGCATATCTCGTTTGCGGTGTCTGAAAATCTCTACCTCTATGTTATTTTTTTGAAGGAGAACAAATTGACATCATTCCTTGAAGTTTTTGCAGAATTTTCTTCGCACAGAGAAGAACAATCACGGCAGTTTTAAAAAATTACCATTGAGTAGTTTTCCGTTTAAGAAATAAAGTATGACAGTGAGTCTGCAACGTCGCAAACCGAGTTATGTGCAGGGTTGCCAGCGACCGGGAAAAGTCAGGGAATTTCGGTGTTGGTCAGGGATTTTTCTGATTTTTCGTGGAATTAGGCGCGGGCGGTCTCGGGCTCGCGTCGCGGGATCAACTGACTACTGCGTTCGATTGCGGAGGATGGTGGCGCTTTCGCTCGGCTTCGCGAGGAATTACCGGCATTCCGACCATCGTGTCGCGTCGGCGCGCGTGTGAGGGTGTGTGTGTGCGCGTGTGTTTACGTTTGTTCACATAACCTAGAAGAGAAGCCATCAACAATTTATTTTTTTGTAAGAAAGTCACTTAGTCATTACACTTAAAATTTTTGTTGACAATATTATTCAATTACAAAGCACATTCAGTAAAATTGTCTTCATGCCACTAGCATTTCTTTGCCTTGAAAGGGATGGAATGCCAAAGGAAATTCTGAATCACAGATTCTGAAAAGTGTCCTTCCTGCACCTTAATCCTTCATTGCTGCTCGTGATAGTTGGAAAACATCTTCTGAAACCTCAAGGTCCAATCTTAATAGCCAAAAATATTTTTTGAAATGCACCCTAACCAAGCAGTTTACTGTACCTAGCCCTTGCGTTGCAAATGTGCATGTTAACTAACTGCTAAAAATTTAAATAGTCGAAAATAGCTCTCATTTTCACTTTAACAGACTGCGTCAGATCCATACTTAAAAGTCAGGGAAAAATATTGGAAAGTCAGGGAAAAGTCGGGAATGGAAAGAAATAATTTGGCTGGCAACCCTGTATGTGATTGCTGACTTACACCGTCGATTTATGAGTTGTTTCCTTGATGGACTTGACTTTTTGAACAGGACTGTATCCTGTAATTTTGTTTCTTGCAGTTTAGAAAATAAAGATAAAGTCTGAGGGATGAAAAGAGGTGTTTTACTTACACAGTAACGAAACGCAGTCCTGCGGTCCAAAGCTGGAGAGCGTTGGGATCAGTGTGGAAAAACAGCATTTTCTCGCACTATAACTGAGAAATGGACCACTAGACAAGGTACGAATTTAAGCATTCTGATACATGTACCTTAACCAAAATTTCACGTAGAACACGACTCGCGCAACGAAAATTACTGAAACCAACTCCTAACGAAGCTATTAACTTTTTTATTTCACATTGGTTACGAGGAATTTGAACTGCCCGCTCACAAGAAACTCAAAGCTCTACGTAAGTCAAATCACGCACTACAATGGTTTCAGCAATCTTCTCAATCGAGCAATGTTCATTTCCCACCATGTGTCTTTCAAATTATAAGTAATTTGCTATAGCTGAGCCAAAGTGTCAAGATTGAGGTTGCCAGATTTTTTCATCGCAGAGACACTCATGATAACGTTTACGAGCGATGTGAATCACGTAGAGCATTGAGTTTTCATGAGCGGGTGGTTTGAATTCATGCACCAAGAATCATTAATATCTTCGGAAGGAGTTGATTTCGGTAATATTCGTCGTGCGCATCGTGTTTTACGTGAAATTTTGGTAAAGAAACGTGTATCAGAATGCTGAAATTCGTACTTTGTCTAGTGGTCCATTAGAGGACCAGAATTGAACACATTTTAACTGTGAACGCGCGCTAAAGAAGTGATGTTTGAGATTAGAACTAATACTCCGCATTAATGACATTTCTCCTTTGCATTTCTCACTTATTGATCACAAAAAAACTGTTACAACTCCATACTACAGGACCTAGTTTATTCCGGATCTATGAATAAAACCGAGCTGAATTATGCACATTATAGTGCTCTGTATCATGCTCAACATTCTAATAGAACATTGTAAACATAAAATGTTACTAAAATTGAATAAAACATAATGAAATCGAGGAAATAATAATTGAACATTTTAAACATAAAATGTTACTACAATTGAATAAAACATAAAGAAATCGAGGAAATAATAATTGAACATTTTTAACATAAAATGTTACTACAATTGAATAAAACATAAAGAAATCGAGGAAATAATAATTTAACCAATGATGCTTACCCAAAAAGACCGTTGTTATTGACTAACTTGCCCTAAACTCCACATCCAGTATTTTTTCTTTCGCTGGATGGTATTTCATCCTCCGGTAAAATTATTTTTGCTATCTAAAATTCATCTCTCTCTACTGACTGTTTCTATCTTGCTAGTGGCTGTGAGCTGTCTGCCAAAGCCAACCAGCCCCCCCCCCTCAATTTAAAAAAAAAAAAAAAAAATTTCAATGCCATGTCTAGCGTCCAGCCCTATGATTCCAGCACCCATACACCATACACATCTTCTTTATTGAATTTTTTCCGTTCACATGCGTTCGCGATGCCTCTTTGCCCCATTCATTAATCATTACCTAGTCGTTGTCCTCTCAGATCGTTGTGAGTTTTTGCTGTCTGTACTATTCACGTTTCATTTCTAAGGTTCTGAAATCAAGAAGTCCAAGTTTTGCGAGAAGGCTCTGGACGTATGTCAGGTAGGTACGCAATCTTGATGGCTTTAAGTTTCACTATGTAGTTCACGTTTGATTATTTAATTGTATAAATGGCTTAGTCAGACTGCTCTGTTCTATACCATATATCGATGGTGTAAGTCGGCAATCACATAACTTGGTTTGCGACGTCGCACCCGTGTGAATCTATCAGCATGCCATCAGCACGGCTCGCAGACTTCCTGTCATACTTTATTTTTTAAACAGAAAACTACTCAACGACAATTCTTTAAAACGGCCGTGATTTTTCTTCTCTGTGCGAGGATAATTCTGCAGAAATTTCGAGGAATGATGTCACTTTGTTCTCTTTTAAAAAAATAACAAAGAGGAGGAGATTTTCAGACACCGCAAACGAGTTATGTGATTTCCGACTTCCACCGTTGATATTTGTCTGGTTTTAAGCAGATTCTAGAGTCATGTTTTACTGAAGTACTATCTGAAATTCTGTCAATGTCTGGCCACGAGTTTGCATGCTAGGCCACAGAGTTTTTTGAACCAGAAGCCACAATCGTCAATGAGGTTTGAAGCTTGCTGATCATATGAGAAATAGCATGTCCTTAGTGGACTGTCTTCTTCCACTATCATGCCTCACTGTCGTTGGCTCGCAAAAGTTTCAAGGGATACCTATAATTTGCCATCACCGAAGAAACTGCGATGTGAAGTGTACATTGTATTGACCGGGTAGCTACGGCTACTTATAATTCCTTTCGGCAATTTTTTTCATATCTAGATGTAATTCACTCATTGACTAATTTTTATGTTTTTTGGTGCGTTAGTAATCTGTTCTATTTCTGTTTAGAGTTTGCAACTGTCCCTAAGCTCATAACTTTGTCATGGTTTATTTTTTCTCAACAGGAATAAAGCTTGTGAGCTCTGTAATCTGATACAATGTCAGGAACGACTATCTCGGACCCACCCACATGGCCACTTCCTCCAGAGTGTGACTGCAGCAATGATGGCATATTTCCGGATTCGTCTTTTTCCCGCTGTTGTTCGAAACAAAGATTGTGGTGGATGTTGCACTCACAAAAGCTTTGTGATATCTCTTTTGTTGTTGGCCCTGACTCTCAGACAGAAACATTACATGCACATCAAAACGTACTCTCTGCTGGGAGTAGCGTTTTTGAGTCTATGTTCAGTGGGAACTGGGCAGCTGAATCCAGCATAAGAGTGCCAGATGTTGAACCTTTTGCATTTTCCATTTTACTCAGGTATTTTTAATTATCATCAAGGTAGGTATTTCTGTTCATTTGTTCATTTCTTATGATTGTCCTCTGGTAGTTGAAACATCAAAGTGACCACAAACGGAAAGGCTGGATTCAGGCCTTTTGGGTCCGTAGGCGCAGCCTGTGGTGGGGGTAGGGTCTGGTGGTCAACTCTCTTGGTAGAGGGGGGTCTAGGGAACTTCCCACAGAAAAACTTGAATGAAATGAAGAAATGAAGGGAAAACAAGACGAAGATTCAGACCATGAATGAATGAGTGAATGGTTTATTTCATATGAGTATGATGCCAGCCAAATTTTTCAAAGAAAAAAGCTGCCCGAAGTAAAAACTCGTGGGGCAGGTTTAACAGCCACAACTTGCAGACAGAACCTTCCTAGTTAGAATGAAAAAACCTCTCATATTATTGTTCTTGCTGCAGTTTGCAACCGACCGATTTTTTAAGAAATGATAGGAAAAATTTTGATTGCCTATTGATGGATAGCCAACTATTTTAGATAGGATAGGGTGCGGGGAAAAAAAAACCCAATGTGGTGCGGATCCTTAGGCGCACGCCGTGTGCCTTTATGGTAAATCTGACTCTAATAGGCGGAAGAAATCGATTGGAAAAATTTCACACCTATATGATCATATCCAGCCTCTAACATGTCCCTTTTTGAGCACCAATCAAATGTTGAACTAACCCTGCATATGTTGAAGGTGTTCAAAGAAATCCTGATGACAAAGTATTGGCACTGCTTGTTTCGGAATTCTGATACACTCCAATAAGGCAGTTCTTATCAGAAGCAGGTGACTTTATTGAAATTCTGCAAGCTCCGAGTTGAAGCATTGTTTCCTTGTATGTTGGTCTGTTGAGTTGCTTGGCCTTAGAAACTAGTATGAATGAGGACAACCCCTATGGTCAGCTCCAAAAACTCTGCTGGCTATTTGTAATGAGTCTTCTTATTGTTACATACTAATTTTCAACAGATTTGTTTTGATAGCCTACTGAAAACTGATAGGACATTCCTGTGTACATGAAGTGTTCATGCAACCACATTTTCCCTGCCGATCATATTTTTTGGGGTAAAATTTTGAAGAAAAAATGCAGAATGCTGTAATTTAACTTTACTTCTGCAGATAAACAGAAAGCCTCCACTAGCCTGATGGAAACAATTAGAAACTTATTTTTGAGGAGGAATCCTTTCAACAAAAAACGAATGTTTCGTAAATTCATTAGGTACTCTGCTCAACCGAAAAGTTTTCTTACAGCAAGAAGACAGATGCTGACAATACAGAAATTTTAGATCCCTAAAATGAATTTTTCTACAATTGGAGGGATACTAGGAGGGTCTCCATTTGTCTCTAATTTTATTCATGCACTGACTCGTGTATGAATTTGACTCCAATTTGATTTTGTTCAGGTTCATTTACACTGATGATGCTCCGCTGACGGTTGAAATAGCAGGCCAAGTTTTGTATGCAGCCAAGAAATATGCAGTCTTTGTCCTTGAAATGCAGTGCTCCGAGTTCCTTCAGAAGAACTTGTGCCCTAATAATGCTTTCACCATATTGGTGCAGGTAAATAATTCCACTTCTATTCGTAGTACTTACCTTGCTCTTTCAGGTAGACATTCAATTTTGAATTTCCTTAGTTTTGTGAGAGTTAATGTCAGTATGACAAATAGTTCATGCAGAACACAGAAAGCATACTAGTAATTTCTCAAACCGACCCCTTAGTGAGAAATTAGAATTTTTACTCATTACTAGAATCAGGTGGATGCGAGCGAGGCATTTGACAGGGGATTCCTCGTACGAAGTAAACATGAGCTAATTTGTCACCAGTGCATTAATTCTTCAAGTTTTCAATGTGATCCTTTTGAAATTTTGATCTGAACACATGAATTCAGGTCTTTCAAAACTTTTTTGAAAAACTCACGCTTTCACTAATTTGTTATTTTTCGGACGGGTTTCGGCGGCTACTCAAGCCACCATCATCAGCTGACTGCCGACCTTGCAGTCTTTTTGATCGCCTGACTGTTGGCTGCGCAGGCACAATAGTTTCCGGTATTTTCGCGGGCAGGCAGGGTGTCCAAGGTTCAAATACTTTTTTGGAAGGTATAGATTGCAATAAACGATTTTGGAGACATTCTAAATCAGTGTTTATTAAATACTCTTTGTTTTTGAATATCTGGATACTCTCCAAGATATTAAGCTTGCTGACTTTTTGGGCAGTTTTTATCAGCTCTGGCTCAAAATTAATGTCGTGCCCTTCCTCGCCAAAATGTTTGGCAACAGCTGATTTTTCTATTTTTCTGTTGAGGGCATTTCTTCTGTTTTCGATCCCTCCTTGCCTAATGGTCCTACGGGTCTGGCCAATGTAGACTTCATCACAATCATTACAATAGATCTTATAGATTCCGGATTGTTGTTCATTTGGTATTCGGTCCTTAGAAAATGATTGGAATGTTTGTCTGATGTTGTTTCTATTTATGGGTGCTGCTTTTAGGTTATATTTTTTGAACATTTTCTTAAATTGGTGGTGCATTTTTGGATGGAACGTGATGGTGGCAAAAGTGTCCTCGTTTTTTTCAATAGGTTCTAATGTGCTTATTTCCCTGATTTTATTCCTATATTCCTTCTTCCTTCGTAGCCGGTATAGAGGTCTTTCTCTGGAAAGCCGTTAGTTTTTCCAATCTCAAGGATCCTCCTCCATTCCCTCTCTTACCTTTCCACTGTGAGTGGTACTTTTATCATTCTGTGGATGAGGCTATTAAAGCTCGCATATTTATGTGCAGGTGGATTATAGGAATTTTTGTTTATATTTGAGTTCACATGGGTTTCCTTTCTGTGTATATCGAAATCGATGCCTCCTTTTTCATCTCTAATTATTTTTAGATGTAAAAATGGGAGGATACCATCCTTTTCTTCTTCACATGTGAACTCTATTGTTTCTTCTAAGCTGTTCAGAATCTTCAAGGCTTCTTTTACATTAGACCTTCTCATCACACAAAAAATACCATCGATCACCCTTCTCCAACTTTTGAAAAGGTTGTATCCCCTGTTGACATTAATTTCTAGGTCACTCATGAACATGTTGGCTAAAAATTCGGAAATTGGGTTACCCATTGTTAGACCATCGTTATGTAGATAAAATTTCCCGTTGAACTGCGAGTATTTTTGCTGAGTGCAGAGTGTGGCTATCCTTAAAAATTTGTCAACTACTTCCTTCTCTAGTGTGTTTTTCTCCAACCACTTGTTTAATAGCTGCAAAGTTTTTTCTAAAGGCACACTGGAATATAACGACTTGACATCAAAAGACACTAGTATCTCATCTTTTTCTATTTTAACATCTTTAACAGCAGCTATGAAGTCGTATGTGCTTTTTACGCTTAAAGTTTCAAACTTTCTATTTCGTAGAATTTTTTCGGTATTTTTGGGTTCGAAATTTTTAAGTATTTTTTCTTTTTTTCACTGATGATGAGTTTAATGCTTTTTAAGGTATTGTTTACTGCAGACACACATTTATTTAGGGACTTTTTGCTGATTTTCGTATATTCGGGCGTTTCTAGCATTAATTCAGTTCTCTCAATATAATCAGCTTTATCTTAAATAACTATCTTGTTTCCTTTGTCTGCTTTCGTGATAACCATGTTTTTTAATACAGCTTTTACTGTTTTTCCACAAAAAAAAAAATTCGAATATTTTATTAAAAAATGAATTCAGGTGTTTGAACTACAACCTCCAACTCTCCGTAAACTGTTTTTTAATTAGTTAAACAATGGGTCATTATTTGCCAAATGATTTGGAGTGATGCCACCCACCAACTCTGATTTCTCTGAAATTTTTCTCAGTGAAAAGTACTTTAAAGTTATGAATCCCTGCTTTTTAGGTCTTGGAACCCAAAACTCTCAAAGATAGAAATGTTTTCATTTTTGCTGTTTTGGCCTCCGATTTACTAAAATGCATACCAAAATAATTCATATTTCCACAAGAAATGTATTGATATTCTTCAAAATTTCAGAATCTGCTTGTTAATGTTTCTATATTTTAAAAAAATGTCCCATAACCTTTGCCTTGACTTTTGTATTGACCTTTCTTGAGACTATTAAATTGAGTCATGTTGTCAAATTTTGGCTTTGTAACACAATTTCGCACTAAATGGTGTAGCTCTTAAGGCAGGGCAAAAACGAAACATTTCCTCACAAAGAAGCACTCCTTAAAGTATACTCTAAAAGCATTAGAAATCAAATTAATGGTTTATTGAGTACCTCTACCTTTATTTCGGACCCTTAAAAATAATGGCTGGTCTGAATCAATCCGACGCAACATTCTTACTTTTGCTGAAGTTAGATCAAGTGATCTAATTTAACTATAAAGTGGAACAATTGAAATTAAGGTGATTTTTTCCGGTTTCTGGCGTGAGATATATCGCATTGATCAAGTAACAAAAGTCGGCAAATTTTGAATTTTTATTCAAACAAAAGGCAATAGCTCCTGCGCAATGTGCATGAGCCTGAAGAATCATTCTAACGTAAAAAAATCGGCAAAATTTAGAGAGTTGAAAGTAGGTTTTTTTTTTAAAAAAATCTTGCATTCAGTGTAGCTCTTCTGTAATGAATCCTTCTGATGAAACCATTACCTATCTACTTGAGTTAAATTGCACACTAAATGTTACTGCAACATTTTCTGTGGTATGAAATTATGGCAACCTCAATCACAGCGCTCCAGCGCAGTTGTAGAATGTTGTTCACATTTAAAAAAACACAGAGGAGGAAGGAACATTGCTTGATTAAGAAGCCTGCCGAAACCTTTGCATTGCGCAATTTGATTCTTGTAGTCTCTAATTGTTATTGTGAGCAGGCAATTCAAATTTCTGGAAACCCGTGCCAAATGAATGGTTAATATGGGTGGCTAAAGTGCGCCAGCATTTATCTCCATTGCGGTGTTTCAAAATCCCCCCTCCTAATTTATTTTTTCAAAGATGAGCAAGTCATCTTTACAGCTTGAAAATACAGAATATGAAGAATAAAAATATGAGGAGAAAAATGAAGGAAGTGTCCAAGAAATTATGTTGACTGGTTTTCCAAGGAAAAATAAATTTTGAGTGGGAATCTACAACTTGGCAAAGGGAGATACGTTGTCTCGCATTTCAGCCATCGATATCTTGCTCAGGAGCTAATTTCAGTGACTCCTAGTGTGCCCCAAATTAAATTTTGAAGAGGAAACATGTATCAGAACCCGTGCATTTGTACTTTGTCTAGTGGTTAATTTGAAAGAGAATTTACTATTCAAGTAATAAAATGTATGGAAATTGAATTTTATTACTTACAACTTGCATTGTTTGGAATCTGCTTTTAACAAACTTACATTTGGCTCTATTGCAGGTAAAATTATTACATGAGGAGGGTTTAACAGAGTCTTGTCTAAAAATGATAGATGATAGTGCAGAGGCTGCTATGTCGTGTGAAGACTTTCTAGAAATTGATTTTCCTACTCTATGCGAAGTCTTGAAGCGAGATACATTGAAAATGGAGGAAGCAGCTTTATTTGATGCCGTCCTTAGGTTTGTTTTTTTCACATCATGATTCTTTAACTCAGGGATGCAGAAACTTCTGACCATGCGACTGGCAAGTGGCTGGTAAAAATGGGAAGGTCTCAAAAGTAAGTATAATAGTGCCATATCTTCTTAATGGTTCCATGTAAATAAAATCGATAAAAAGTATTTTGGGAATCATACTCTCAGCTTTTTAAGAAGCTATAGAACTTCGAATTTAGTTTTCTAGAACGCCAAAAAAGTTGATTTTTGTGAAGCCCCCTGTACTCCAAGAGGGTCCAAAATTTCATGCGAACGATTCGTTCGGAATTTCAACTTCAAAGATTATTGTAAGCGAGGTAAAAAAAAACAAAAAAACATGGCATTTTTAAAAACCTAACCTTACTTGTCGACATAGGATCCTCGTTTATCCATGCATTTCTGATATTGTTGTGCCAGTCCTCCAATCCAGACTGCATAGAACTCCTCATCTTGTTGACCTCTTCATCCATTTGGATGTAAAGCTTAAAGGAACTATGTGCATAGGTTTTTCATACTACATAGTTCCTTTTAGCATAAATACGTCCATTTATAAGTTTTGGCTGTCAAGATTTGACTTAACTTCTGGGAAAAGGTGAAAATCACTTGGAGGAGGATGTGGAAAATCTCCCATTTAAATTTTTCAAGCAAAGTTTGAGTAGTCGTAGCAGAATGAGGTCAGGCATTTTCGTACATCAACAGAACTTGATCGATCAGAATTCCTGGGCACTTCCTCTTTATACGGAATTTGAGTTTCAAGAGTCTCTCAGCACCGTTCTGCCTTTACCATCTTTCCTTGCAGTAAATACTCGACCAACAACACTCTTTTTGCATCCCGAAAAACAGTAGGCATAATTTTTCCAGCAAAGACAAAGAGTCCTTGTTTTGCAAGCAAAATCTCAAACGCATCGATCTAGGAGCGTGAAATTTTGAATCTGCTCGGAATGGAGGTGGTTTCACAAAAATCAACTTTTTTAGTGTTCTAGAAGACCAATTAATTTAAAGTTCTATAGTTTGTTAAAAAGCTGAGACTATGCCACACAAAATCCTTTTCACACATTTTATTTTCATGTAGCCGTTAAAAAGATGTAGCACTATTATACTTACTTTTGAGATGACCCTCGTAGATAAACTAAAAATAATAAGATCTGTTCAAACTGCAACTTTCTACGTTCCATATTAACCGAAACATGGAGTTTGAAAAATTCGGTTTATGATGCCATCTACTGAGGTAGTGACACCCTTGGTTTCTTCTACCTCACTGTCATTAACCAGTGAAACACACATGGACGTATTTATGCTAAAAGGAACTGTGCTATGTGCATAGGGTTTGCGTGAGACATAGTTACTTTTGGCATAAATACGTTCACATTTGCACTGATACCTCAATCTTAAAACTTTGAAGAAACCAAGGGTGTCACTACCGTGGTGGATTACATCATGAACCGAATACTTCAAAACGCCATATCTCGATTAATATTGAACATAGAAAGTTGCGGTTTGGACAGATCTTATTATTTTTAGCTTCTCTAAGCATCAAAACACAATTCTGTGACCAGCGCAACTGACCCATTCATCTAATTCAACAACAAAGAGTCATGGTAGTGTGAAATTTGCACCTGCATTTTTAGAAAAGCAAGAGCTTGTGGGAGATATATCATTGAATAAAGTTTTGTCAATTTGCCCAACCGTATTTACTTTATAGATGATTCATGATATGGCCCTATTCTTCATCTAGGTATTCCGTGTTTCTGACACTGATGGGCCATAGCTCTTTTTAGTCCAGTCATATGGGGCCTTTATGCGGTTTTAAGAGCGGAACTTTTTTTCTCACCTGATTTCTCATCCATAGAGGGTCCTTAACGAGAATCCAAATTTGCGACATCGAAAAATTATGGGAACCCCCCCAAAACCCCCAAAATCGCAAAAAACGGCCAAAAATCGGCGATTTTCTCTCGTTTTTCGGCTAATATCGCTAAAATCGCTGGTTTTTTGAGTAAGTACGTAAGGACTAATCTGAAAGTAGATAAAATTACGGACATTTTCCACCCGGTCCGAAATTTTTCTGATGAAAAATATGCCTACTAAAAGGTTGCCAAAAAAAATCCCAAAATGTTCAAAATTTCACTTTTTTAAGGTTTTTTGCTTGTCATTTTTTTTCCAGCAATTTTAGAAGGTAAGTGTATACGTCCAAATGAAAGTACATCCAAAATGCTACAATTTCATGTATCAGACTTATCCCTAGGGCGTAACGAGACGGCTCCGCGGCGTTGCCAAAGTTGCGATCTCCAAGGGCATTTTCCGCGGCGGTGCATTTCACGCAACCGCTCCACTCTCCCACCGGTCCAAGTGAGAAAACACGGGGTTCGGGGCCGCATCTCCTGCTACTACTGCCGTACTAAGAAGAGCGCCGTATGAGCCATCAGATGTTGTCAAATTTCCCTCAATAAAAAGCAAATTTATTCGGAAAATTTTGAATAATATTCTTCAAATTTTTCAGGAAGTTTGGTCCACAATTTGATTTTGAAAATTTCATGGAGAAATATGAATAACTTTTCTCAACAATACGTGTTTTATTCGTGGAAATTTGGCAACTCTCGAATTGTTAAATGACGTTTTTCCTTAGCACAGCAGAATAGCCCACCTCCCTTCCCCATCATGGGCGCTCCAAATTGACTGCGCTTTGTTTATTCGCCACCAGATTTCGCTCGTCGTCAATATACCAATGGAGGCAATTTTAACGGCAATTTTCTTAGAACCAAAATGCTAACTCATCACACAAAATTGTTGATATAGACTTCGAATCGCTGAAATTTCAGCGGAAAAATCGCTGCAAGCCCTTAAGTTGCCTTAAAACATCAATCGAAGTTGATGGTGACGTCATTCCTATTGATCCACTATTAATATTGAGTAGAATGTGCATTGCCAAAAAATCGGACGATGAACTGAAAAGCTTTCTGTCCTTTGAACTTGCACCGTTTCCTCTTTCCCTGTTTACCGAAGCGGGGATGAGGAAAACCCAAAAGTCATCTCTTTATGGAAAGATTACACCTTGCTCTGCTGTTATAATGGAAAAGAATGCAACGTTCGTTGTTGATGGTGGGTTCTTGCTGCACCGTTGTGTATGGCCTAGAAATAGTACCTTCTTATCTATTTGCAAGAGCTATGTCAAGTACGTTAAAGCGCATTATTCCGCTGATTCTATGGTCATTTTTGATGGATATCAGGAAAATGCAATCGAGCGAAACACGAAACATGTAGAAAGGATGCAAAGAGAACGAAAAAAAATGTCCTTAGACATACTTTTCAATGAAAGTATGGTACCAACCGTGTCTCAAGAAAAGTTTTTAGCCAATAGTAAAAATAAAAATCGATTAATTAGGATGATGAAAAATCATCTCGAAGCGGAAGGTATTCAAGTTTTGCAAGCAGTGGAAGATGCAGACACCTTGATCGTGAATAAAGCAATTGAAAAGGCGTTGGTGACTGAAAATTCGGTGTTCATTGTCGGTGAAGACATAGATCTCTTTGTCCTCTTGGCATTCCACTCCAAAAATATTCAAAACGTTTTCTTTATGAAGCCAGGCAAAGGGAAAATGCCTCGAAAAGTGTATAACAGAGACAGTATTGGCAATGAAACTACGGCCGACAACATTCTTTTCCTACACGCTTTCAGCGGCTGCGACACGAACTGCGCCCTTTTTGGAAAAGGCAAAAACAAATTTCTGACTTTATTAACAAAAAATCCAAGCTTTACATCATTCATAAAAATATTTAACGACGCAAACGCTACACCTGAAAGCGTTTCCAACGCCGGTCATAAGTTTATGCTTTATTTGTATGGTTACACCGGATCTGAAGAGATATCTATCAATGAGCTGAGGTACAAATGCTTCATAAAAACAGCATTCAGAAGCAAACAAAATCTTGTGGCTTTGCCACCAACAGAACAGGCTCTGAAACAACATTCATTGCGAACATACCATCAAGTTCAAATGTGGAGAGGTGTAAATTTGAACGCTTGTGATTGGGGTTGGAAACTTAGCAAACACGGACTCCTACCAATCACAACATTACAACCTCCTGCTCCTGAAGAAATTCTAAAAATGATTTCCTGCAAATGCAAGAAAGGATGTCAGGCAGCTTGTAGGTACCTGCAGAAAAAGTGGCCTGCCATGTACAATAATATGTGCCAACTGCCGTGACTCATGCACAAACATTCCTGATGACGTAATCATCGCAGATGGAGAAGAGCAAGAAGAAGACGCGGACGACCCGGACATTGTCCCATTTTCCGAAGATGAAACTGAAATTACAAAATCAGAGGAGAATATCGAGCCAGTGAATCTAGCCGCTATGGAATTTGAACCAGCTCTATTAGAACCATCTGAACATGAGATCGACATTACCGAGGAAGCGAGCCCATCAAATGTTAAAAGACCAAAATTACGGCGGTAAAAGATCTTCAGTATTAAATTCATTAAACAGCAAATATGACTTTAAAATTTAATCCGATACACTTGTATTTAACCATGTATAAGGTTTTTCATTAATTAAATATCCCCCCCCCAAAAAAAAAACTAATAAAAATTAAAAAAAATTTAAAAAACCCAAAAAAACCCCCAAAAAAACTTTTTAAACACGCCCAGAAACGTAAAACATGTACTTAAACTACACCGTTTCTGCGCCAGTCCTAAGCCTGGATAAAGTGTGAAGGACAAGTTTTCATTCGAAGGCAGGGGAGAGGTACAAATAAGAAGGCGTCCATGAGGTAGAAAGGGGGTCTATTAGCAGGAGATGCGGCCCCGAACCCCGTGTTTTCTCACTTGGACCGGTGGGAGAGTGGAGCGGTTGCGTGAAATGCACCGCCGCGGAAAATGCCCTTGGAGATCGCAACTTTGGCAACGCCGCGGAGCCGTCTCGTTACGCCCTAGGGATAAGTCTGATACATGAAATTGTAGCATTTTGGATGTACTTTCATTTGGACGTATACACTTACCTTCTAAAATTGCTGGAAAAAAAATGACAAGCAAAAAACCTTAAAAAAGTGAAATTTTGAACATTTTGGGATTTTTTTTGGCAACCTTTTAGTAGGCATATTTTTCATCAGAAAAATTTCGGACCGGGTGGAAAATGTCCGTAATTTTATCTACTTTCAGATTAGTCCTTACGTACTTACTCAAAAAACCAGCGATTTTAGCGATATTAGCCGAAAAACGAGAGAAAATCGCCGATTTTTGGCCGTTTTTTGCGATTTTGGGGGTTTTGGGGGGGTTCCCATAATTTTTCGATGTCGCAAATTTGGATTCTCGTTAAGGACCCTCTATGGATGAGAAATCAGGTGAGAAAAAAAGTTCCGCTCTTAAAACCGCATAGGGGTCATTATCATCCTCAAATGACTGGACTATTTGTGTTTTCTGGAGAAATAGTTTAGTCGCAAGGTGTCAGAATCACTAAGTGCAAAAATTAGGAAACATCCATTTCTAACTGCATGCTAGATATTGACCACACAGAAACCGCCATCATCAGCTTGACTCACAGAACTGAGCCCTTCATCATTTCCAGCATATTTTCGAATGTCATCATATCTGCCTTAGAATCAACTCAGATGTGAGGAAAGGGCGTATCTTTTTAGGGCTGCAACCTTTTGGAGGCTGTAACTCCCTCAACTTGTCATAACTCATAACTCACCGCTTGTAATATATTTTCTACAAGCGCTCATCTTTTCAAAACCGTATGTTTAAAACACGTTTTGATGCAACTCTTTGGTTTGTAATGAGCTTATTGCACTATCTATTTTTTATTGCTTGTATCAAAAGAACGGGGGCTCCTGATGTCCCAGGAATGTTTGCAGTTATTCTACCACCGGAAACCCTTAAGAAATCAACTTTAAAACGTCCTGATTTTCGGATTTTCAAACGGTCACTTTTACTCGGGAACGGATTCGGTACACCCGTGACATCACAGAACATGATAAACCTTGGCTCTTCATCACTCACAATGTATTTTCTTTTATAAGAAATTGGCAATCGCTTTTCAAATACTAATACCGAATCAACTGATAATTTTTTGACAAAAATAGAACTCAGAAATGGGATCCTAGGACGCTCAAATAGTTAAAACCCTCATTAGATAATCATGAACCAAAGATGTAAACCCTATTTTTAAGGACAACTACCAGCGATGGGATATCGATATGTTATTATTTTAATTTTAGCTGTTTTCTCTTAAATAAAGGGTTTATTCTGTCAGTTCGTAATAATCTACTTAATGAGGATTTTAACCATTTAAACATTCAAGGCTCCATTTCTAAAATCTGTTTTCATCAAAAAGTCATTAGTTTATTCAATATTTGCATTATAAAAGTAACTGCCAATTTATTATTATGGAGAAATACATTATGAGTGATGAAGAGACCTGGTTTGTTATGTACTGTGATGTCCCAAACGTACCGGATCTGCACCTGTGCAAAACTGACTGTTTGAATGGGTTGATCCCCAAATCAACTCTTTTTTTTAGTTTGGAAGGTGATTTCAAGATTATTTAATAGCACCATAATTCTTTTTGTGTTTGCCAATTGGAATTAGCTATCAATTCACAAATTCCGCACCTTGCAACAGGCCCATTTAGAATCTGCAAAAATGTTGGCATCAAGATACCTTTTCATGTCCCCCCAAACTGTTTTGATGACTCAAAAATTCGGAAATATATGGTAATATATGGATAATATAATGGTCTTGGGTCTACAGTCTACACTGGACCTGAATTCTTTTACAGGATTCAGGCCATATCTGAGTGGTTTTTTTTCTCTCCTGATTGAATTTGTGTCAAGTCTTAAAAATATCTGCCTCAGAGGGATTTAGCCTGTTTTGTATATGTGCTTCTCTCTGCATACTGATAGTTGAAACTACTTCTTGTCATATCAACACGAAAAAAAGACATAGCCCTATCAGTACAATGTATTCATGTATCGATTTTAGATGGCTTGTCGTGCTAACAGAAGTTCCAACCATCAGTTCGCCAGAAAGACTCTGCAGAGGAGATTTTACCAACTTCCACAGACGAATTTCATACTTATTAACGTCCATTATATTTTGAATTCCTGTCTTTCAAAATTGTTATTCTGTCTTTTTATTTAAAGAATATTATTTCTAGATGGGCCACAGCTGAATGCAGCAGAAAAGGCCTGGAGATCTCAAGAAAAAACCAAAGAACACTATTAAAAGGAGCATTATCGTTGATACGTTTTCCACTCATGACTCAAAAAGAATTTACAACCTCAGTTGCTAAATCTGGAATTTTTAATAATCAGGAGCTTGTGGACATGTATTATTATTTCTCTGGTTGTTCAAAAGCTCCTTTCGAGTACAACACTACTCCTCGTTCTTTAAAAGAGCCATTGATAGCAATGATAGCAAGCAGATTTGCATCAATTGTTGCCCGCAAAGAGTATGTAATGAATATAAAGGAATATCAAGGCTTACAGTAAGTGCTCTTTTGATCATATTGTGTATTATATGGACGTATTTCTACCAAACAGACCTATGTGGAATTGAGAAATATGGGGTGTGCTCGTTAGTTCTCTTTGCGTAAGAGTGAATGAGAATAATAAAGCGCCAGTGACGTCAGCGGCAATGAAGAAGCCGGAGCACGACAGGGAGATCGTCGTCGGGATGCTTTAACTCATGAGCCCTGTCCCCAATGCTCTCTTGGCATGCCCACGGCTCATGACTGCCGCATTCAGTTGGCACATAGGTCTATTTGATAGAATGTAAAATCCCGCTTTGCCAATTCTTCAAAAGGAACCACGCCCACTTTTACATTGCTTCTTATGCAGCTTCGACGAGCACACCCCATATTTCTCACCTCCACATGGGTCTGTTTGGTAGAAATACGTCCATATGAGGTTCCTAGGATCAAAATCTGCAATTTCCTTTGTTCTGTCTAAAAATTTGGCAATTTAATTTATTATGAAGAGACATATTTGCTATGTACTGGAATGCCGTTGAAGTCAATCCCAGAATAGTGCCTTTCTAGCCTCTTGTTCGCCAAAAGTGTGAGCCAAAGGCCATTTTTTAACATGGCAGCTCATGGATAAATTGCAGGCTGCGAATAGTTTTAGGGATTTATGAATGTAAGTCCATAATATTTTTGAGAATTTTGGCAAATTATGTTGACCAAGGTCACAGCAACTTCCAAAATGTACAAAACTACCTATTTCCATGAAATAAATTTTAGTCCTATATTTTCTGAGCAAAACCTGGAGCTGTAACCCGGGGCATATGACTTCATTAGTCGCAGAACATTAATCCCAGAGGCACTGGACAAAACAGCCTCAAAAAGTGTCCTCATCAGCGCTCCAGTACATTGTGACTCTATCACACTCTATTTGAAGTGAGCAGATTAGTTTCCACTCGCCTACTTTCTTTAAAATTTTCTGACAGTATATTATGAAAAATTTATCATGGTATATTAAGCACAGTCTTGTAGATTCCTTCTTTCAAAAATTAATACATTTGCAAAAATTTTTACATTTTGCAATGGAGATTGTAGCTTTTGATACTTGGCTCTTCACTTAGTCTATTAGAATGAGATTCCAAAAGATGCGTGAAAACGATCACGAGCTGTTTGACAAGTTCTCCGCCCAATGTGCTCTATAGAGAGGATAGGGACACTCCTGTGAAGGGTTAGTCAGGGGGCTTGAAGAGCAGCTTGTTGCGCCATCTGAACACGCCTTAAATGTAATCAAAATTATATGAAGAAAGATTCATCCTTTCATAGCATGACCCAACGTCATGCTCTTATTTTCATCATTGGATTCGAGGTTGCCAGTATTTGTTTTGAAAATTGCACATGAATATAAAAATAATTACATTCGCCAATCAAAATGTTGGGTAATTTAAAGGAAATTATAAAAAAAAAAAAAAAATGTATACAAATGTTGGATTCCATTTATAGAATAGGAAGTTAAATTGAAGAAAAGTGTTCTTAATCCCCAACCAGAAAGTAGAGACAAAACCGAGTAAGGTCAGAGGGATCTTCTTTTGCCGATGCAAAAATGGAAGTGGAAGATGCTTTTAAAACAGAGTTCATGGTGTCAGCTCTAATTGAGGAATTTTTCGGTAAAAGGGCGCATGATGCTTGCAACGCTGCTAAGATTCCTATTGAAGCATCTCATTGGTGATTTTTTTTTATTATTATTTATTGTGTTTTTCTTACAAGAATTATACACATTGTTCTTAAAGGTAATTATTTGTGATTGAGGAGATTTTCTGTTTCCAAGCAGGCCAGGGAGATTTGTACAGATGAAAAGAATCAAAATTCTTTGAGTGATTAGAGCGTTTTGGGCAGCGTCTACACACATATCAACACCCTGAATAAGAGGTAGATTACAGCAAAAAGCTTGTCCTGCTATTGCTCATTAATAATGCGAATAGTTGTGGAAAATAACAAATAAAGCAGAATGATATAGGATGATAATTTTTTTTATCAAATACAAAGGGATTACAATAGGTTCTCAAAAAATTTCAGGAGAGTCGCCCCTTCCCCCCCCCTCGATCACCACAGCTTGCTCTTTCACCAAACCCTTGCCCTTGATGTGCAAGAAAACTTTAGGGGGACAGTTTTCCATAAACGAAAAAGTTGGCCCAAGTCAATAAATGTTCTTGGATTTGCTGCTGCATTGAAAAAATTTCTCCCAGAAGATAAGGTCCCTTTTTTTCGGAATCTCCTAAACATTTCCTAATTACTCTGTCTTCAGATTTTCCTTCAGTAAAAATGTAAATTTGCTCGGTTTTGGCCTTTACACTCATGACAGAGTTGAAAACTTCAATTTAAATCTGTTTCTGTATGAAAATGGAAAACTAATTTATAAAGAAGAGTCTGTGCAGTTTGTGACAACGGGGCATGAAATACATCGATGTTATCTGAAAACTGCTATCCCTTCCTTGGCTGACAAGCGTTACTGTATCTACATCCAAAGCAATGTAAGAAAACCATGCCTACTATGATTAATTCATATTATCAGTGTTTTCTATTTCAAAGGTAAGATGTTTTTAACAAGATTTTTTTGAATTTTCAAAAAGTCTGGGTTTATTAAGGTCTTTAATATTGAAAAGGTAAGACTAAACGGCATAACTAGCAATGAAGCAATGTCATAGATTTATGCAATACCAGCATCTATATGTTCACATCGATGGCTGAAGTGCAAAATTATGTATCTCCATTTGCAACTTCGCACTTTCTGTCTTATTTTACTATTTGTCTGGAAAATTAGTCCAAGTTCCTGAATTTTGTCGAACTACAGCATCAGACCAGTGGCAAATGTTGGTCTTTGTAAGTTGATTGTATCATTGAATGAGCCCGAAGATCATCTCAAACCTTGACCTCAAAATTTGGTATTTTAATTAAAACAATATTAATCTTATCAATATTTTACTCGATAAATATACCTAATAGCGCTGGGTACTATTTTGTGGGGAAAGCCAGGCAAAATAGTTCAAAAATTTTACCACGCTCTTTCATACAGTTTGGGCCACATTTTTTTGGTTTTTTTTTTTATCTTAGGCAGTAGTATCTGATTAGTAAATTGTTTCCACATTTCGCATCTCATTTTTTTTGTTTTAAATTTTCCCTCTCTTATTTTTAGGACACTAGATATACCTTCCAGGGCTGTGATGGAGAAACTAAAATCACTGTAACTGATCCTTCCAGTCAGAGGAGTGTAGCCATTAATTTTCTATCAATGCCTCAGACTACTGATAAGCGCGTGAAGGACTGTTCTGACAGAGGACAATTACCAGAAATAATTTTTCAGTGGTAAATATTTTATTTTTTTCCCGGAAGGCGACGGCGTGGACGTCCTGTGAAAGGTTGGCGACAAGGGGTGGAGGAGGAGATCAGATGGTGCCAATTGCCTGATGATCTCTGGGAGGATAGGGGGCAATGGCGACTGGGCATCGTAGAGCGCGAGGCGGCGCTATAAAAGCGGCTTTATGTATGTATGTGTAAATATTTTTTTAAATTTTTATCATTACTATCTACTGTTTGATTGATGGCTGAACTCAAAAGTCATGTATTATAAACGCTGTTTTTCAAATTTTTACCCAGTACTTTACTTATTCAAATAGAAACAAGTCAACTGCATTGCTCAAAGTTTTCAAAGACTTCTGTAAAATGAGGAGAAAAATCATAAAAATGCTCAAGAAAGCACCTTGATTGGTTTTCTAACGAAAAAAATTGAGTTTGACAGGACATCAGCAACATTGCTGACTGAAATACTGGGGGCAGCTGAAAAGGACTGCTTTCAAGCTCATAACCGAAAGGGAAAAAAATTGATTAAAAGCTATAGAATCCTTTACTTTGGAGTCCAGTTATAGGTCTTAAATGAGGTTTTCACTCACAAAATTTCTAACTGAATGTTTCAGAGTTGTTCCATATGTATTTTTCAGTGTGGAATCGGCCCTTGACTTTTGCAAACAAAATTTCCTTGAGCATAAGCAAAATAATGTTGTCAATGGAGCCCTTGCATGTGTGAAAGATTTGCAATTTGAATACGTTTTCAAAGGTAAAACTTAGCAAGAAACACAATGGTGTCACCGATTTTCTTTGAGACAAACTCCTGAGCTGAAAAAAAGCTCTTGCAGTTGAGGCCGTAATGCAGGGAATATGCCACAGCTCTATGAGTCCACCTCTGTATCTTGTCAAACTTTTGATGTACAGATGAGGAGCAGATGTATTAGCAGTGCTGCCATGGCTCTAGCCTTGGAGTCCCCTAACAAAGTGGCAACCCTGCTATTGTATTTACTCTTCATCTGACTCTCAATACGATCTCCACATTGAGAGCTTTTTTTGAGCTTGGGAGTTTGCTGCAGAGGAAACTAGTGGTAGGTACCCTTGCTGTGCTAGTAGTTGCTCGCAAACATTTACATGAGACAAGATACTTAAATCCCCAATCCTTGATGCTTGCAAGAGCTCCATTGTTGTTCTTTTTGTTTTTGTTTAAAAAAAATATCTTGTCTCCTATTGATTTCTCGACCCTTGATCATTTGAGCATATTTATGGTTAAAAAAAAAAATGTGCCTAAATGAGTCGGTCAGAAAAATTGTGAAGCTGCAAATCTTTCTTACATACATATAAGTCGCTTTACAGCACTCCCTCGCGCTCTACGACTCCTAACCTCCACTGCTCTCTTTTAAACCACAAATCTTGGGGAATTGAGCACCTTAACATTTCCGCTTCAATCCCTTCCCTCCAACCTTTCATTGGGCGCCCTCTGCGTCTTCTCCCAGGAGGAACCCAATCAAGGACCTTCTTCGGCAACCTGTCTCCTGCCATCCTGCAAATCTTTCTTACCTATGTATTTCTTTTTGATTTAAATCATGTTTACCTAGTTTGCTTTAGCATAAATAGTAGCCTCCTCCTTCATGTACGTTCTGTAGCATTTTTACTCGTTTTCCTCCTCAAAGTGAGTGATAGATGCAATATGCTAACAAGATGAAAAATCCATTCCCAAAATATTTCGAATTTTACAACTCGTTTTCTAGCTTCAATGTCAATCTAAAGTCTCTTGAGTTTTACAATAAACAAGATGAGCTTCTAAAAAAATCGTTTAATGATGACAGTTAACAGCATTTCTATTTCATTTTCGGTATTTGTTTTAATTTTTTCTTTCTTCTGGATTCGTTACAGGTGATTGATTATACTGAGCTTTCAAATGTTGCTTTTACCTGAAACATTTCTGAAGAGCAGTGGTCAGTGCCTGGACTCATGAATACGTCAGTGAATTCATATTTTTTCTTTCACATATCTCCATGGATCCAGCAATATAAGGAAGATGGGGTTTTGTTGAAAAATCACTTTCAATGAGAGTTACCAACTAACCAGATTATGTAGCCAATGAATTAATGAATAACCGCGCTAATATTTGTTCTAATTGCTCATTTTTCGACTCAAGCCATCGATATATGTATATTGCTACGAATCTTTTCCAACATGTTTCTAAAGAGAAAAAATTAAAAATCAGTGTTGCGACATGGCTGAACAAGAAATAATGCATACCATAAATGAATCACATATTGCAGAAAGGGCACTATTGCAGAAATGTTAACTGTTCAGAAAATGCAAAAAACTGATTTGAGTAAACTATAAGCTTTTGGAAAAAAAATGTTCGAGGTTTTCTTTTGTCCCCCAAGTAGACTGACAATTTCCATAAAAAATTTTTACATGATACTCTTTCTGGGTTGTAAATAATGACACTTGAAGGAAGAGTATTAGTGCCCTTTCTGTAATACATGGGGGAAGGAGCCATAAAGAGTGATAGAATGAAGCCAGAAAATTATTTTAGCCCTTGTTTTTCATCTCAAATGTATGGCAATGATGCATGTCTATAGCGAAAGTTGGAAATTGTATATCTCCATTGCAACGTTTCAAAATTTCTGCTCTCTTTTTATACTATTTTTTTAAAGAGAACTAATAGAGATATTCCCATGAAATTTTCAGAAAACAATCTTGATGGTGTGAAGAAAATTTACACAAAATTTCAATAGAGAATACTTAAGAACAAAAAAAAGAAGACGAAATAAAATTGGCAATGTCGCAATTGATGGTATGCGATTTCGAACTTTCACCATGTGGTTTGCTCACAGCTATGTAAATTTTAAAAATATTTCTGGCTTATTTCAAGTCAAGGATTTAAAAAAAAAAATAAAAAAAAAAAAAATTAAAAAAAAAAAATATGTATCTTTTGAAGTTCAATAGCGTAGTAATCTTCTACCTACTTCCTCATCCAACCTGTTAAGGGCTCCTCTCACTTCCTACACTCAAGGTTCAATTCTCACTCCTTTCATTTTCAGCGTGAGTGAAGCGTGTAGCGTGATCACTGTCGTTTCGAAACGCAAAACTAACCTCTCAATCGTATCAAAACTAAAGAAACGACGAGTTGCCGCTGCCGATGCACGCGCACCCAGTGGGCATGTACTGCAGAAACGGCACTATATTGCTGCAACGGTGCCCTTTCTGCTCTACGTGAGGACCTTAACCCCGTCAAAAACACATAAAAAATGCGAATATAGTGCCCTGTCTGCACTACAGGATGTGTCTACATACACTAGTGCGAAAACCGCAAAAAACTCAATTTCGAAAAAAATGTCGATTGTGCCCTTTCTGTAATAGCTGATTCAAATATTTCAAGAGAAAGAATAGTTTTAAAAACTAAAAAGGAATTAAAAGTAGTTATAAATACCCTAAAAACATTCTATCCTTTTTCAACATAATCATTAATCATTGCAATACTTGTATAATGCTCTCAAAGCCATAAAATAAATTTTTCTGAATACTCAGCAGTCACTAATAACTGTGAATACTTTTTCATTTATTATTAAAACACGTTTGATTTTATCCGCTTTTCCTTAAAGACCCAAATGGTGTACTCACTCGGTTCTAAATTCAAAACAAATAAATTTTCCTCATTATTTTCCTTTGACCTTATCAAATTTGTTCTCCAGTTGTGAGGAATTCAAGTTCACTTTTATTGTAATGGCATTCCATTGTAACCATAAATACTGTAGCCTCTTTAGTCTTCGTGAAATGTAGTTATACCTATCCTTTTTCTTTTTTGAATTGTATTAGCTTTTTATTAGTCTCTACCATGCCTATATATACCCCCCCCCCTTTATATTAAATCTTTTTCAAAGTTTACTTTTTTATGATTTATAGAAAAAAAGCACATCGACAGAGTAAGTCGGCAATCACATAACTCGTTTGCGGTGTCTGAAAATCTCCGCCTCAATGTTATTTTTTTAAAGGAGAACAAATTGACGTCATTCCACGAAGTTTTTGCAGAATTTTCTTTGTACAGAGAAGAAAAATCATGGTAGTTTTAAAGAATTTCCGTTGAGTAGTTTTCTGTTAAAAAAATAAAGTATGACAGGAAGTCTGCGATGTCGCAAACCGAGTTATGTGATTGCCGACTTACACCGTCGACCTGTTCTCTACTGGCAAGAAAATTCTAATTGCCTATGCTCAAAATATTTTTGACAGCTTCAGAGTAAACCTCAGGTTTAACGGATTCAGGAGCTTTTCATTAAATCTTACTTTAAGTCTTATGTGCTATCCCAATAATAGTAAGTAAATTAGCCAAATCCTGCAAATGATATGATCTTGTTCTTAAGAGCCTTTAAATTGTGCCTTTTCTCAGGTATTTTTTTATCATTAGATTTAATTATGAAACTCTTAAGATTATAGTTTTAAATTCTGAATCACTTTTGCTAATCCTCAATAAAATATTGTTTTATTTTCATATTTCCGATTAGATTTTACTTTTGTCTCTGCGATCAACAAGCAACAGCCCCATCTGTAAAAGCCTGTTCCTTTGCAGGTTTTACAGAGGAAAATTAATCCATTAGACCGAGAACTCATGATGATTCATTTAACCGGAATAATATAAATTTGCCACCCACCTCATTCGAAGCAGATTTTAGTCAGGAAAATGAAATGGGAGGTCTAGCAGGGCAAACCGTTTGCACCTAGGAAGTTTTACTTAGGCCCCTAAAAAGCCCAAAAATTGCTTGGATTTTAACCGGAAATATATACACTTGATATTGGTCTCATTTAATGCGGAAAGCCTTCCTGATGAAGGATCAGTTGATCTGGCAGCCGAAATCGGTTGCTTAATTAAGGGCCACCAGACCAGTTCAAATCTGGAAAAACTTGCTCAAATTTCAACCGGCAACATACTTATACTCTTGATATTGGGCTCATTTTACGCGGAAACTCCTCCTGAGTAAGGATCAATCGGTCTGGCGGCCAAAATCGGTTGCTTAAGATCCTCCAGACCGAACTTTCTCCGGAAATTCTTGATTAATTATACATATAGAAGGTGGCCTAGACCTACCATACCAGGCTTTTTGTAAATCAAAACTGGATTTAATGTTTTGAAAAGTGTTTAGAAAGTTGAGAAAAAGTCTGAGGAATGAAAAGAGGTTTTCTACTTACATGCTATCGAAACGCTGTGCTTGAAAAGATGGGGGCATCTTAGTGCAGGAACAGACAGATGATTGTTAACATGAACAGTTGCGGATGATTCAAAAAAATTTTCTCTCCTCATGATACGAATCGTCGAGTCGCCCTCAAGTGGTTGGTGGGCCCTCTTTGGAAATAGAACTGGGAAAAAGAACCATAGTTACTCGTTCCGCATATTGTAAGAGGGTCTCCTACCAATTTTTATGAAGTTTGATGTGATGATTTCTTTCTCAATTATTCCCATGAATCAGCAGGATCTCTCTCCCCATTATATGTATAAATAGTGTGGCTTGAGGCGATATGGCAACACCGCATGAGGCACTGCTGGGCTCCTAGTGGCGTATATGAGAGGAGCGCTCTGGTCTACAGGCTGCGCAGTAGTGTTCCTTCCTCAGTCTTTCTCCTGTAGATTAGTTCGACACATTCACCCCGCAAAAAAATAACACGTTTACGTGGCATGATGACGTCAAAAAGTCACATAACAGCACAAAATTTAAATCGATGGTGCGGCAGAGGAGCGAGGGGACCCACTTTAATCTAATGGTTATCATTACTGAAATGATTTCTTTTGTATACAATTTTGGTAAAAATGGAATTCTGTATAAAACTATATAAGCTGCATTAAATCTAATTTTGGTAATGATGAAGTCTCTTCCAAATCTGAAAATTATGCCTAAATCTCAACTGTCAAGCAGCTGTTTTTGGAAATCTTTCCTAACATAAATGGGTAGGTGCTTAACTGCTCCAATTAAATTCTTAAAGGTGCTTAAAAAAGCATACTAAATTAATTAGGTCGCTTCAGAAATTACAGAAAACTAAGTAAGATGCAGTCATATGATGTATTAAAGCTGAATGGAAAATTTGAAGTTTCTTGATTTCATTGACAAGAAATCACATCAAATCACTTTCAGGTTGTCGCCTAAAAGAGCAGTATACTCTCTCACAGCTCTCCCCCTCCCACGCACTGAGTGACGATAATGAAAATAAGTACCTCTGCACGTCGCACCGAAAGGTTAAGTACATAATTCAAGGACAGTTCTTAAATGAAAAATTTTCCCTCTCTCCAGTGACAGAACGACGGTGTACATCGGCAATCACAAAACTCGGTTTGCAACGTCGCAGACTTTCTATCATACTTTATTTTTAAAAGGAAAACTACTCCACGACAATTCTTTGAAACTGTGGTGATTTTTCTTCTCTAGTGAAGAAAATTCTGCAAAAACTTCAAGAAATGATGTCAATTTGTTCTCCTTTAGAAAAATATTATAGAGGCAGAGATTTTCAGACACCGCAAACAAGTTATATGATTGCCGACTTACACCGTCGAGAATCGAAAACTCTTGAGGTACGGTGATAGGGAAAATAAGAATTTCACAACCGCTTCAGTTTTCAATTACTTTATTCAGTTTTAGTGATCCAAATAAATACCAATGAATCAATGAAAACAAAAAATAAATTGGAATAAATTAATTACAATCGAGTAGAAAGTTAATTCAAAAAATACCAAAATAAAAAAAAATAACACAAATAAAGGCACAGACAGCGAAATATAACTGCTTCTGACCTGACATTTTGCCACATTCCCTGCAATATTCATTAGCTTTTGAAAGATTCAATCGACCTTTCATTGACTAACAAGCTAATAGGACCCAAGATGGCATGAGAAACTCCCAGTTTAGAAGTCTGCGATGAAACTTCTCAGAAGTACAAAAGTATTGGCTACGTTCACAGCATTTTAGAGATTGGAACCAAACGAGGAATTTGGATAGTAAATACAGGCAAGAATTTTAGGGGGGGAAAATAGAAAGAACTGGCTTTATATTCCAGATTTTTGGTTCATCAAGAGTAGGTGACAGCTCTTGCACATTCATAGAGCGTTGTGTCCAGCTTTAAGTCTTCATTCGAAATTTATAAAAAAAAAAAAAAAAATCTTGGCTGAATGTTGTTTTAACAACGGTTCAGCTCAATGAAAGTTAGCACTTCAGATATCTGCGTGAAAATGGCAAACAAACTGGGTAAGATATGCAGAGACTAGCTACATTATGAACTAGAAACATTTGTCCCTCCTAAGCCTTATTAATTAAAAAGTTTGGGACATACTGAAAAAGTACGATTTAAGAGAGACTTAACAAACAGACTTGAGTGTAAATTTTAAACATTTAAAATACTAATGAGGACCTCTGCTGGTTTGTTTTCAACAAGATATTGACAAAAAAAGATAATAATTCTTCCTTAAAGGTGCCAAAATTCCTGATGAATAAAACTTATAATTTTTATAGCTATTCTTGTTCTTAGTTTGCTTTCTCTTCTGATTGAGCAAAAATGAAATCTTCGTTACAAACTCCAAAAATCCTGATGTAAGGATCAATTAGTGCAATGCTTAGAAAAGTAAAAAGGAAAGTTTTACGAATACTCATTTGAAAATTTAAATTTACAGTCAGAAAAAGGTTTTAGAAAGACTTTAACATTTTCATATCACCTGGTTCTCAATAAAAATAGAAAAAAAGAAAGAAAAAAATATTAAAATTCAAAGAATCTTCTTAATCCAAAAAAAGCATCAAATAAAAAGTCCCACAGGGATCAAGGAGGTTATCAAGTTCAGGGCCTAAAGGAAAAAATTTAATGCACACTGAACAAGAATATTCCATGACTACCAAGAGACAGGAAAAAGTATTTTCATTCAAGTTTTAACAGAATGTGATCAACAAGGAAACGTAGTACAAGCTTAAAACCCATGAAACTGAACAACTTAAAATAATTGAAAATAAAGGATATGGATACAAACAAACCATGGGTGGTTCACTGGATGACTGTTACTGAAATTAGAAACATTCTAAAAAATTTGAAAAATGGTTGAAAAATAGTGCAGTAAAAACAAATTGAAATCTGATAGAAATTAGGAGACACTACGTGAGTCTTTGCAGGAGAGAGGCATTTAAAATTCCTGCTTCGGCTATTGTTTGAGAAGGATCACTCAGTTCTTTGCTTGGGAACGTAGTCATAAGAGTAAAGTTCTGGATTTCATAGTGAGGTCGCGCTACAGTAATATATCTCCTAACATCCCCTACAGTATGCGAATGATTCAGTCGAGCGACAAGCCTTGTTCCGTCCGCCAAACGGATTTGGATTGATGTTGTCGGGCTCGACTCATCAACTGGTATAGTCTGCTTTGCCTGATTTTCATTTGCTAATCTATCTTTCTCGTCCAATACTTTGGTGGTGCCAACAACAGCAGGAGAGGGACTGAAAGAAAAAAAAGATTACTTAGAACTCATATGCACAAAATAGTGAGAAATGGCAAAAAAAAACTACCTAACTGGGAAAGCAAGGTTGAAACTGGAAGTCTGTATACTTAGAAAAAGTGGGAAACCGGATGGAAACAAATTAAAAATTTACAAAAAATTCAAATAAAATATTGACCTTGGTTCTGAGCAACCAATTTTTTTGGACAAGTTCAAAATGTTGCCTGTACAGCAGTTAGCAGTACACAATTGAGCGATCAGAATTCAGCTTTGATTTCAGACCTGTTGTTATGTAATTATTTTTGTGAGTTTTTTAATTTTACCCGTTCTGAGAACCTCCTTTTCTCAGAGATAAAGAGTTTGCATTTTACCTTTAAGAGGACTCTTCTGTAGAACCTACAAAGTAAGTTTCTGAACATTGAGAATTTGGACTTTTTTGAACTTCAGCACTTTTTACATGCTGCCTTAAATTTGATGCATAGAACTCCTGTTTAATACAAATTCTACTTTTACAAATCTTGATCACAGGAATCTGAACGACGTAGGTTTTTTTTTTTTTGTCTAATGCATGACAATAAGAAAGTGCAAGGAAATTTTTAGATGGAAAACTTGGATGAGAATTTTAGTGATTACCTACACGAAGTTAAAAAGCAGACATAAATCAAATAGGATGAATAGAAATATGGGTGAAAAAGGCAACCTGGTTATTAAATCAATAAAGTGGTTAAGTCAAGTCAACTAAAAGCACATGATTACACTTACTTTCCAAGAACATGACCTTCTCCGGCAAAGGCTTTAACTTTAGGTTTTGGAGCCACATAATCTTCAAATCTATGATCCTCCATGTTGAGATGGAACTCTCCGCCTCGAGCATTTCGCACTAATTCCTGAGGTACTTCTCTGAAAAAAAGCAAAACAACAAAGCAAATGAGAATGCGAAATAGAATGAAATTTTGTCAGTTGAAGGGTTTTTTCACTCGGTTGGCTGCCACGATTTAGTTTGTACACACTTTTTGAGGTCCGATCCTTTGTTTCTGTGTTTGGTGGTTACAAAATGGCCATTTTGAGCTTTAGTTCATAATTAGGTGTAGGTATTCTTACGAATAAATGCACGTCAATTATAAAACACTAAAAAAACAAGAAAACTGTACAGTATGCATACTGCTGTGCTAAGGAAAAACGCTGTATGAACATTCGGGAGTTGCCAAATTTCCCCAGATAAAAATTCATGAAATATCATGACAAAATTCATGCATATTTTTCCTTGAAATTTTCAGGTATTTTAGATTAAATTATGTACAAAATTGTCTGAAAATTAGAGAAAATAATATTCACAATTTTCCCATTAATTTCGGTTTTTATTGAAGGAAACTTAGCAACGTCTGAACGCTCATACGGCATTTTTCCTTAGCACAGCAGCATACTTCCGATCACTAATTACTAAGAAGTATTAAAATTCTGAATATAACCAGACTGGATATACTTGGTTATCACTTTGTTTGGGTCAACTTAGTGTAAATGAAGTACATCCAGTCCAGTAATATTCATAATTTTAGTCCTTGTTGGTAATTAGTGATTGGAAGTATGCATGCTGTACAGTTTTCTCGTTTTTTTAGTTTTTTATAATTGACATGCAATCTGAGGATGAGCTAAAGCTCAGAATGGCCATAGTGTACCCACCGCACAAAAAAACGATGGATTCGACCTCAAAAAGTGCGTACAAAACCAAATGAAATTTTAATTGAGAGACAAAAATTTTTGCTCTCTTTCCCCAACAAATTTATCTTCGATCCATAGCCTCTACTTCACGATAAATGAGAGAAGTGACAAGTGATGTTTTGCCTACTACTTCCAAGATTGAAAAAAAAACGTTTGTTGGCCTCTGGCATGCCTTAAGAGTGCGTACATGATCAATTCTACCTTGCTTTCAATGTTGAATATAGTTTAATTTGATTGAATGGGTGGTATTGCTCTTGATCATGAGCAGCAGTTTAAGTTGAGGAAACTTTGAGAAACATAACAAAATCATCAGGACAGAAACACTTACCCTCTTTTGATAGCGTCCAGAAAGTCCTGATTTTCTGGATTTGTGTATTCTCGAATTGGACCATCATCAATGCTGAATCCTTCTCTCCACAGTTTTAAAGTGATCGCAACAGCTGATGATTGTCGACTCGTGGAGCTACTAGAATTGACGACTGAAAAAGTTAAAATAAAAAATTTACCGGTGAAATAATTATGAATCTTTATCAACGAACATAAAAAGAGAAATTTTAGACTAAATAATGATAACTGATCCACAGAGTTCGGCAAACCATGCTGCTAGTAGTGGCTGTTTTTAGTCAGATCCATTCTGGTAAAAATAGCATGTTCATTTTTTAAAAGCTGTATACAAAATTAAACGTGTACTTACAACCTTGTTTAAACTTATAAGAACATTAACATATTTCTTTAGAACAGACATGGACTCTATCATATCTCAAGGTAAACGGGGTTACTCGAGGTTTCTAGGTTGGTAAAACATCCAGATTATTTGGAAGTATGTTAAAGAATCAAAATGTTAGCATTTAGAAACAATTGAAAGGTTGTGATCAATGGACCACTAGACAAGGTACGAATTTAAGCGATCTAATACATGTTTCCTAACCAGAATTTCACGTAGAAAACGATTCACACTACGAAAATTACTGAAACCAACTCCTAACGGAGATATTAACGTTTTTATTTCACATTGGTTGCGAGGAATTTGAACTGCCCGCTCACAAGAAACTCAAAGCTCTACGTGAGTCAAATTGCACACTACAACGGTTTCAGCAAGCTTCTCAATCGAGCAATGTTCATTTCCCACCATGTGTTGTTCAAACTATTAGCAATTTGCTATAACTGAGCCAAAGCGTCGAGATTGAGGTTGCCAGATTTTTATATCGCAGAGACTGTCATGATAACGTTTAGCGCGCGATGTGAATCACGTAGAGCATTGAGTTTTCATGAGCGGGTGGTTTGAATTCACGCATCAAGAATCATTAAATATCTTCGTAAGGAGTTAATTTCGGTAATTTCCGTTGCGTGCATTGTGTTTTACGTAAAATTTTGGTTAAGAAACGTGTATCAGAATGCTGAAATTCGTACCTTATCTAATGGTCCATTGTTGCGATCAAAAAACAAACAAAAAACAGCAAATGAAAACATCTAAAAAGCTAAATTAAATCGCATTTTGATTTGAGGGAACCTTTCTACTATTTGACTTTCAGCTTCATTTGTGTTTTCAATTCTGGCACCTTCTTAATATTTGTAAGGGATATTCACAAAACAGCAATACTGCATCCCTAAAATCATAAATATTGGTTTGTAAAGTTAATTGGTACCAAACAGTGTTGACTTATATCATTCAATAGATTATGGTTTAGAAGAAGCTTTATCTCAGTTTATGGTTTATAGGAAGAAAGACGGAACCACAAGATTTTATTTTATAATTATTTTTTGGAACACTTTTTAATCAGTTTCTTTTTCAGAAGGAGGTACTTTGATCGCATTTCTCCACCTCGCAAAATGCTTTCCTCCTTTCCAGCTCTTTACCTTCAGTATCGTTGCTCGTTGCGCCCAGGCGATATCCAGTTCCTTCAAATGCAGAGCTCCGGCTAACTGGATTGCTTGCATCGACTATTTCTGCTCCTTGCCTGTCAGAAAAAATATAGAATTAATACACAAGACATATTTTCATTCACTTGTCTAATACATGTGATGAAACTTTAATTCATATAGCTTACTTATTTATACTTGCTTTATTCAAACTTAACTCATACTATTCATATATAAATAGTGTTCAGCTGTGAGAATTGGACAGTGTTCTCAATCAGACAACTCAAGTTCACGAACACAACACAGAACCTGTCTGTGTGGGCTTCAGGGATTCAGAGAGTTCCAAAACGCTGACTGTTTACTACGATCCAGCATTTTTAACATTATCATTTGTTGATCATAATTGGGTGCCACTTTCTGAAAAGGAGCAAAATCTGCAATGGAACATTTATAAGTGACTTATGAAAAATCATATACAACCGCTTCTACAGCACAGCTTCGCGCTTTGCAACACACAACCGCCATTGCCCCTTATCCTCCTACAGATCCTCAAGCAATTGACACCTTTAAATCCTCTCCTCCAATCCTTGACGCCAGCCTTTTATGGGACTCCTTTCTGCATGACATCCTTCAGATCAACTTTCACACCGAAAGTAAAAAATTTCTCCTGCAAAAGTTACGGAAAATAATGAAAGAAAATAGTTTTTCACACTTACTCTTGAACTGACTTGAACATTTCATAAACAAAATCCTTCTTCTTTTTGCCAGGGCCAATGACCTGTTGTCCTGAATGCTCTGAGCCACCAGCATAAAATGCTTGGCCTTCATCTTCATCAGAATTTTCTTCTTTATCTTTGAAACTTGCAAGGGTGGCTATTCTACTGCTGCAAAAATAGAGATACACATTAGTAACACATACCTACAGATTGATGGTTAATTTGAATAAAAGTTGTATCAAAACAGGACTGCCCACAACCGCAAATGACTGTGATACGGTCAGTGAATAAACATGCTGTAAAAATAAATGCAACTACTTCAATAGAAATGATAAATACTTTTTTTAAAAAAAACTCACCACTTTCACTGTAAATTTTTTTGTTAAAGTTTTAAAAGAAAAAATTATAGTGAAAATACTGAGTTTTTTGAAAATTGATTTATCATTTACATACACTTTCACTGCTTGTATTAACAATTCCATAAACTTCAGTCAAACTCAAGAAAATCTAACCTGGATTTCTAGTAGATTTTGGAAAATGATTTTTTGGACTTTTCCAGAGAAAATTGAAATTTTTCCTAACTTTTTTTCACATTCACTTCATGTGCGTTAACAAGTGAGTCAGCAGCACATCACACAAAGTCCCCAAAGTACTGAGTAGTTCTTATTACTTCTGAGTTTTAGGTTTGACACTCAGTAGCAGGCAATTCAAAAATGGGAAAATCGAAAGATCAGGAAGTAGAAATCTTATTTTTTTTACTCAAAGTCTGTAAAAAAAAAAAAAAAAAAATTACCTAACTTCTGAACTGAAACCAATTGAAAGAAATTTACCTGGAGCTGGGTTTGGGTTTTTTCTTAGGCTCTGCGGCAGAAGAAGACGGAGCTGGGTCAGAGGATGCCTTGGCTGGAACTGGAGGAGGAGCTGAGGCAGAGTCTGACGAAGCGTCATTTTCTACTTCGACGATATCTGGGGAATCAGACCCACAGTTCTCGTAAAAGCTGGCAAGGGCAACCTGTGGGATAGAAAAACATGTTAAACAGGATGTACATGTCAACATACAAAGCAGGGTATTACCAGGCACCCCGATGACAGCAGGCTGGAATGGAAAAAGTGACTGAAATGTCCGGCACATCAGTTTTTACACCACCCTGTTGAGAGTTGTTTTTCTCACATTTGCAAGATACAAACCGATAAAAAGTTACCCTGAATCTTAACCAAACCTGGCCAATATAGCTCTTATTGGTCAGTAAGAGAAAAAATTCTATGATCAGTCTGCAAGTTAGATGCATTATGCATTCATCCACTTCAGAACAGGCAATAAAAACACTGTATCAATATCTACAGCAGCGAAGATCATCTAAAAACCACACTGCATTCAGTGAATATTGCAGACGATAGGAAATATTCAATCAGAAAGGATCCTGCAAACCTCTTGTGGGGATGTGTACTATTATCAATTTCCAATTATTTTATCGCATTACACTTGTCTATGGATGCTGATCAAAAGTCATCTTTGTGCGAATTTTCTACAGGCTACCGTTTAGGCATAAGCTGCCATTGACATCTCGATAATTTCCAGGACAGAGCGACTGAAATTAAAACGTGTCTCTCTGGTAAGGACAGTAGAGTGGGAGGGAGAAAGAAACTGATTTGGAAGATGAAAAGTAAGGCGTGCAGAATCCAAGCTAAGACTGCTTCTTGGATGCTGATCACCATGTGCCGAAACACGCTGGGTTTCTTTTATTTGTATTGTTTACACAGTGCACTCCAGTACTGAAATAGAGGGATCACTTATACTCTGCATCGCCGCATTACCTTCATTAATGCAAAAAATTATCGATGCTTCAACCATGGATTATGCAAAAAAGTGCCTCGTTGAGAGTTGGTGCGATTATAACTTCAGATAAGCATCCATGGACAAGTTTAATGCATTAAAAAATTGGAGATCAAACAGGACAAGCACCTCCACTACAGTCTATGGGGTCCTTTTCGCAAAGTTAAGAGCCACGCTGGGAAGTAAACAGTGTGTCACCGATTTGGAAACCCGAGTATGCCTCATGCTTTTGAGATGATCATTTAGAAATCCCAATAGTAAAATTGGAAATGAACAGAGAATTATGCTTACTTCAAGTTTCCAGTCAGCAGCCTCCAAGTAAAATTTGGCCCGCTCTGTCTCAACACTTGCAATGTTTGCGAATTGTGAAATGAGTTCATCGTGGTTCGACATCGCTGAATTCTGCGTCCTTCTCTTCTTGATAAAATGAAAACTGATAACCAACAAGGATGAGATTTTGACGTATGAAGAATCCCTGGACACGAAAGTTAACGGTGAACGTAAAAGACGCAAAAACTTCACAATAAAGGGGCAAACTCTTTCTTCGATCAAAAATGCATGATTCGGAAAATGGAAAAATCTGCTGCTTCTTCTTCTTCTTTTTCTATTATCAGTCACCGTTCCTTGTCGGGTTGGTGGACTGAAAACAAAGTGAATAATCAGGTTTGTAGACTTAAAAAAATTTGTCATTCAATATTTAAAATTTTTTAGATGGACATATTTACTATTTAATGAAAAATTTAATTAGATGATACTTTAAATTAAACTTGAAGCAGAATATTAGACAACCAATTGGTCTTTGGTAGTTCTATTTTGCGTTTCTCGTCTTTGCTCTTATCAAAACTCGGAATTTGGTTTCTGGAACAAAACATTGTATGTTTACATTTTGGCACCTTTAGCAACTCTCAGCAACTAGTGACTTTTTTCTTAATTTAAGCAACTTTTACAACCGTTATTCCCTTTTCTTTTCATCTTGTGACTAAAATATTACCTTCTTGTTTTCCATGAAGTGCTGTTGAAGAAGTATCACCTTTCACACCCTGTTTCAAAACATCTAAAGCCCTCAAGAGAAAGCAGGTTCGTAAGCGTGTCACCAACTTGAAGAATATATTAATGTAATTTGTGTCATAGTCAGACTACTTTGGATAGACATGTGTTGTCAAAAAATGTATTCTAATGTGAAGACACACTCTTAGATCATTGCAACCAAGTGTTGATTTGCTCCAAGTTTTTACCTACCTAAAACCCTGACACGGCGGACTGTCATCACGCACGTGAATGACTGAAGTCCTAAAATGCATATTTCCAGTTACAACGCTACTAATCTCTACTCTTGTTTTATTTTTTTGAGAAAATCAATCAGTTGGTTTTTCAAACTATTCCATGACTCTCCTCTGATGCTCAAAAATTTTGGATAGTGTTCTTTTTAAACGTTAAACATAATCGGGGATTTTTGAGACAGAGCAATGAAGACATGCATTTTGTGACTGTAGCCATCCTTCATCAATTGTTTTCTCAGCATTTCTGGCCGTTATGTCACACCTTTTAACTACTGAAGATCATCTAATTAGAAACTGTGTGACAAGTAACACTTGCTTATGTCCTGCAAGAACGGAGGCATCGTATGTTGAGACAAAAGTCAAGTATTGTTTTGGTCATCACTCATCAGTGGTGCCATCTGACTGCATGTGTTACAATGGTGTAAGCCGGCAATCACATAACCCGTTTGCGGTGTCTAAAAATCTCCGCCTCTATGTTACTTTTTTAGAGGAGAACTAATCGGCATGATTCCTCGAATTTTATGCAGAATTTACTTTGCTTAAAGACTAAAAATCACGGCAGTTTTTAAGAATTGCTGTTGAGTAGTTCTCCGTCTAAAAAATAAAGTATGACAGGAAGTCTGCAACGTTGCAAACCAAGTTGTGTGATTGCTGACTTACACCGTCGATTGACGTGTTGAGTGGTGCTGATTCGAAGGTAATCAGAAATTGATATTTTTCTTAACATTCGATGCCTCTGCTCTATATGCCATTCCCCTTAGCTGCCGGTCTCCCATGTTCCTCTCAGGAGTAACTCAATCTAGCACTTTTTTTTGGCAGCTCGATATTTGTCTCTTCTTGAATATGACTATTTACATTTTATAGTAAAATAAAGAGAAAAATCACCTAACTAGGTTAAATACATGAGATAAAATCATGATTTTGTCACACCTGTAAAATTTTCTATATTTTTACAATTTTTACAGATTAAATATGTCACTTGTTGCGTATGAAGATAGCGATGAAGAAATATCTGACGAGGAAGGAGATGAAGTGGTCTCATCAAACCCAATCAGTAAACCTGGGACAAAGGTGCCTGAAAAGGTAGCTGTGAATGGAGGAAAAGTTCACAATTCTCAGGATGCAGAGGAAATATTTGAGCTCGATGACAACAAAATTGAAGATCTTGATGATGATGGCCCCAGTAGTAGTGCGAGCAACTCTTCCCTTTTGACTTCGTTACCTGCCCCTAAGTCACAAGTTCCTACACTGGATCTTAATTGGGTGGACAAACGTCCAAAGTCGAAAAATCAGCCTGTAAAAATTTTGATTCCCTCGCTCTCTGAGGTTAGTACTCTACCGTCATCTGACTATTTTAATTTTTTTTTTTTTTTTTTTTTTTTTTTTTTTTAATATTTTTTAATCAACAAAAATCCAGTGCCACCCAAAATTGAATCAGTGAGAACAAAAACACAGCAAATCGGCAACTCAAAACTGTTCAATTTTCATGAAGGTCATTGAAGGTAGCCCATCTTTTTCAACTTGGTCTTTTAAAGTGTCCGTAAGTACTGTTTCTTGGCACCAAAAATCTTTTTCCTAGATTAACTTCTTTACCTACTGTGTAATTTCATGTGTCTTGATCATTTTCATTTTTTCGAGTTGGTGTGTTTTCGTTTCCACTGATTCAATTATTAAAGTCTCTTTCTAAAAGCAACTTTTGAAAAAAAAATGATGAAAAATGTCAACCATGTAAAATGTAATGCTTAATTTTGGATTTTTCAACCCCCATCCCCTTCTCCTCTTAACGCTTTTGACTTTCAACACTATTTTGGCGTACGTCCCTTTTCCTGAACACTTTAAATGAAAATGGCATGATGCTCTCCTCAACTGCTTCCCTAGATCATTACACATCTCTTAAACGGCCCCTAAGTTACATCTACATTGTTGCACTCTTTGACTTAAAGCAGCAATAGATACATTAGATTATCCTATCTGAAAATTCCTACACAGTGCTGTCTGCATAAAAAATACTAAAGCATACATAATGAGTATGTGTAACTGTTCATTCAGAAATGTAAAGATTCATTTTTCTTTTTTTTGTTCTGTCTTTCAGTTTGAAGAGGAAGAACCAGAAGAACCAGTTAAGAAGAAGATTAAACCCTCATCAGTAAGTATGACCAAAATTCTCTAGCTGCCAATTCTGATCTGGCTGCAGGTGGGACATTGGGATGGGGCTTATTTCAGTGATATTGGGAACCTGAGTTGGTCTGAATGGCAATCAGCTTTATTTGTCAGAATAATTCGTGTTGCAAAATTTGAACCAAATTGAAGCATTTTTAGATGATGATCAGCGTTATTGAGTTTTCAGAAAAAATTACCTATGTTTTTTGAAACAGGGGAAAAATAGGTGAAACTGCAGATTTTGTGTTTTAGCCTTGAAATGTTTCCCAATTGAAAAAAATTTGCACCATCATCTAGGGCAACATTTGAGCAAGTGTGAAGAAAAGGCTGTAACACAACCTGTCTTGCTATGTTGTAAGCAGCTTAGTATGGTGGCATTATTACATTCTTCACATCAAACATGAAACAAGGCTTCTGTGTTGAGGAGGTTCATATTTCTCATAACTTGTTTGAAAGTGATGTGCAAAAGATGAGCTAGCCCACAGGAACTATATTTGACCCTTTACATTGCTGCCAAAATATTTCAAATGCAGAATTAAATATAAATTAATTTTCCTCAGACTTGAGTAATTTTGGCAACAGTGTAAAGCGTCAAATCTAGTCTACATGGGCTTAAAAAAATGATTAGCGATCGGAAACTAAAACTTAAACTCATTTCAACCAACTGCACCACTACTTTTCTGGAAAAACAAATTTTCCCCTCTTGTGAGACTCCAAACAATGGAAAAGGCAACTACCAAAATAGCCCATTCCTGAAAACCTTGTTTTGAGAAAAACGAACTTGAAGTTGAAAATTGTAAATGAAATATTGCGTATTTGAGAAAATGAATTGATTTTCTCACGGTCCAACATTTTGATTACATTTTAAGATTCTTACCAGCTGCTTTTTCAAAAGCTCTTGCAGCTTTACCAAGACTTTTCTATTCTCAGCAATGTTTTTGCAAAAAAAATGTGTTACTTTTTCAAAATTACAGAAAGGTTCGGGACTCTTTGCTTTACTCCCAAAGCCCAAGTCAGAATCCTCTTCCTTAAAGCTGGTCCCTCCATCTGTTAAGAAAGCTCAAACACCACTAATTCCAAAACAAGTTAATAAAACACTGAATCCAGCTCCCAGTATCCAGAAGCCACCCAATAAAATCAATCTGGATTACAATGACTCCGATGAAGAAGATGCACCTGCAGAAAAAGCGACTGATTTCTTCTCACTGACGGCAAAACTAGAAGCTGCACCTGTTCCTGTCGTAGATATTCTAGATGTTCCAGATGTTTCCGCACCTTCTACAAATGGTTATTCTGGTCCTGAGCCTGCACAGCAACAAAAGCCTGGACACTCCAATAGCTACTTTGCGCAACAAGTTGCAAATGCAACGAGTACAAATAATTACTCGCAGTACCAAGAGTCCACCAGTCAACCAAGTCAGCCAGTTGCCTCAGGAGATTATATTCCCTTCGATTCTAGTGAAATAGAATTGGATGATGATGCGGTGAGTACTTGTCTTGTTCCTTTGAAATCAATTTTTCTATTGGATACAGATTTTGTTGAAAAATATAGTGCAAAAAATATATACATCGGCTATATGATGACAGGGTTGCCGCAGCCAGGGAATACAGGGAAAACCAGAAAATGTCAGGGAATTTAAAAAAGTCAGGGAAAAGCTTGAAATGTCAGAGAAAATGACAGAAGTGTGAGGGAAAAATTGTTGAGTCACCTTTATTTGCTCTCTAAAAAGGGTTTGACACTGTAAACAGTAGATTTTGCTGGAAAACTATTGTCAACAAGGTGCTCTGTTATGAGTTCCACACTAAAATTGATGCTAGTCTTATCAGTGGATAAGTAGAACTGTGTAGTTAACGAATATAAAAAATCTGACCGAAACAGAATGGGGAAATGATTCGTCTGGCCTAATATACTATTAAAAAGAATAAGAAATATTTATCCTGACAAGCCATGATATGCAGTTTAAGAATTTTGATTTTAATTTTTATTTCATAATATCAGGTTAAGATTCCTCTATGAACCATCTGTTTTTATTTTTACAGCTGCGACAATTATGCGGGCGCAAAGATCGTAAAGCAGCAAGTCAACTAATAGACGTTCGTGGTGACAGTTTAGTCATGAACTCTCAAGAATGGCTCATGCAGTCCTTATCAGAAGAAAAAGTACAAAAATCTCATAAGAAGAATAAGAAGGATGGTCCCTCAACTATGGAAAAACGAAAGCATCAAATTACATACTTAGCACATCAGGTCTGTGTCCTAATTTTTTTCATCCACTGTTTCTCCATACAGTTTCCCCTCATTTTCAATAATAATTTTGATCCATTCCTAATCGGAATTTTAACTGTACCACTTGTTTTTCAGTGCAGTAGTTTACAATTTATAGGTGTGCAAAGTGAAGAATGAAGAACTTTCATTTCTGAGATCCTGCAGCCACATAATGTGTCTGTTGTGAAACTAACAGAACATTTATATCAATTAAGCTTGACCAACCTAACATTTTGTAATCTTGAAAGTGTCAACATGGATAATTTCTCATAACTATTTAGTTTTCTCCTGGAACATGGATAATTTCTCATACCTATTTAGTTTTCTTTTGGAACATGGATAATTTCTCATACCTATTTAGTTTTCTCTTGGAAGTCAGAATTTGCAGATTTTTAACCCATCTAATCTTATTTTACCTATAAATTTTCAGGCCAAGGAGAATGAATTGGAGCTGAAAAATACTTGGGCCAATAACAGGCAAACAAGGAAACAAACGCAAGCAAAGTATGGGTTCTAGTGTGTCATCCTTCGCTTGATTGTAAATATCTAGGTAATGTAAAAATCTTTGTTGATGTATATTCGTCTCATAGGTTTGTAAATTAATGTAAATTTTGTTTTCAGGACGCTATCGTAAGATGGAAAATAAAACAAAGATTCAATTTTTTTCTTAGTAAATGTTTTATTTATCAAAAAAAGACTTAACTGATATACTATACATCTTTTGTGCGAACTGCATTTAGCGGAAAAGAGCCAATTATGTTTAAAATAAACATTATTCTGATTTTTAAACAGAGATCAGCTGAGACTCCTTTAAATTAAATCTTGCAAATTTCCAATAACCCCAGAAAATGAGGAATATCTTGTGATTAATTTAGAAATTGGTTTCTTTTTGTGAAATGTCATCCACACCACAAATACGGAGACAAATATTTCTAGAGCTTAAATCTCAGTCCTCATGTTTCCTGCATCTTAGCATTGTTTTGAACAAAATTTAAATGAACAAAATCACCGTAAAACTTAGATCATTTTGGAAAGATGCTTTTTGTATTTTTTTGCAACCTCGTTTTCTGATGGAAATATCATATCACATTTAAATTTTTTTCTATCCTCTTCTTCTCATTATTGCTGAGACAGAACGTCCGAGCTAATTTTATCATCCAAAAGCAATACATTCAGAAAAAAATAGGGAATAGTTACAGGGTTGTAACCACACCTCTTTTGTCTTTATATGTGTTGAAAAATTCTTTCTCCACTGCTGATGGTATCTGCACTGCAGATAAATATTTATTTTAAAAAATCATTCCATTTACAGTCTTTCTAGTCTCTGTGTGTCCATTTATCCAAAAAGTGTAAAAATACTCGGTGTGGAATTCCTCTTGATATTTGTTGAATTTGCGTACAAAGTAGCTCATAACTATGATTTTCATACCGCTTAAATACAGAAGGAAGACCGAGCTCGTGGTATAAATTCTTAACTGTCCTAATTTTCTCTGGGTCCTCACTGCCATAGTTTTCCTGAAAAAGAAATTGCAACCATTCTTTCATGAGTGTAATTCGTTTTCTTGCGGAGAAAAGTAAACATGCACTCTTCAATCGCACTGTGACATAAAGGTCAGCCAACTGAACAGAAGATCTTTGACCTGATAGTGATATATAAGATTTTCTTCATACTTATCACTATTTTTTTCCTATGAACAGATTGCAGTCCGACGCCCAAGTTGTTCAGACTTTTCTTCTCTCTTTATCAGCTAATAAAAGACCAATAAGTTATTACCATCTCAAAATAATTTTGCTTTTGTAAACTCATCTGATTTTAAACTGCTGCATGATCGATTTTTGAGCTCACTTTTAAATCCAGCTTTCATCGACTAATCAATTAAGCTGTTCTGAAATCTGGCAAAAATCATGGCCTGTATGACATAATTTGCAGTTTTAGTACTTGCTCAAACCAGAATGTTTTCATAACAAACCATCAAACAAGCGACTCAAAGAGTTCAGAGAACTGATGTTATGGTACTGTTTGTTTGATCACAACTGAATTATTTGGCTGTGCTTACGTCAAGATAACGCTCTGAATTTTGTGCCAAAGGTCAACATAACACACTGAGACACTGTTGTCTAAGTGTATTTAGAACCCCTGGAACCTCGTTCACCTGATTTCATATTTGTAATCTTCTAATCTTGAATAGTCACACTGCAACAAAGTTCGACTAACCCACTTAAAGCTCAGATTAAAGGTATCTCCCATCTAATATCAGTTTGTCACGGTTTCTTTCTCTTGTTTTTCTTTCAATTCATCTATTTGCCTCTGGAATTTATGAATTGTTTCCATAATATCCCAAATTATTGGTCACTCACCTGTAATATTTCCCTCTGGGCTTTTGTCACCCTTTGAAGCGCTACAACCGCTAACCATGAGCATTTCCTATTTGCAATGTCATCTTCTGCAGCAGGATTGTCTGATTCAAAATTGTGATTGTCTTTCTGCAAAAACCCCCAAAATTCATCATTAGCTGATTTAATGTAAAAAGTGCGGAATGAGCAATGATTTGAATCTAATTTTGAAACCATGATTTAAAGAGGAAATAGCTATAAAGTCTAAAGTTTGCTCGTTACTTCCCACTGTAAATGTAAACTTTTGTTTAATTTGAAAAGAGAAATTTCTCTAAGGTCTTGGTATCTTCAGATCTTTAAATTTCAAAATTATTTCCATGAATGTAAAATATGATGGTTTTCTTTTAATATGCTGTAAACTGATATATTTTGACTGCAGGGTTTTTAGGCAACTCAAGACAAAATTGAAGCTCTATAGCAAAAAAATATTTAAATTAATTGAAATAATAAATAATAATAATAAAAAAAGAAAAAAACTAGAAAGATGAAAAAACAGTGTCACACACCTGAACTTGATAAAATTGACCCATCTCCTTAAGAATTGTGCTAGCCTGCCTATGAATTTCGGGATCTTGAATTCCAGCCTGTAAAATGTGAAAATGTCATTAAAATGATCGAATGGAATCCAAATTTACCCTCTTAATTTTCCGACGAAACAGGATATTTCTCAAAATAGTATTAATTTAGCCTTCTTATAAAGATGATCCATTAAAACTTACCATATTCAATGCGAGCATCACTGGCAGCTTGAATGAAGGATGTGATGCTGTGTATTGAACTATTGCCGAATAGCGATTCATTGTGAACAGATCAAGAGAATGGTCGCCTCGAGTTTGTCTGTCTAATACGTGGCCCATCATTGCCTTATGTGTCGTCTATAACAAGTCGTGAAATACAATCATAATCCGAACGAAACAGGTGCAATACAAGGCTGTGTCAAGCTTCATTTAGTTTCCAATTTCAGACCAACGTTTCCAACAAGACCAAAATTCAGAGGAACTTAATAAATTCAGTTTTTGGCTGATTTTGGTATAAATTATATTGATCCCTTTTATCATTTCTTTTGGTAAGAACCTAGGGATCAGAGAATGAAACAACCCCATTACTTGTAATCTAAATGACAATTTTTGGAACTTTTTTCATAGTTTTTTATGGCTTCCAATTTTTATGAAGGAAGCTTGCCAGACTTGTCAAAGATGCTGATATCACAACGTCACTGAAAAATGTTCTCTTTGTTATTTGCTCCGAGCATAGAATTTAGTTTGATTTTCCTGAACCTCCCAAATCAAGCCAACATTGGCATTAATATTGTATCAATTAGGAAAAATGAATGAAAAAGAAAAGCTATAATCTTACATCATGAATCAGGAACTGAGCATTTGAATAATACGGTTCTCTACTAAAGGTCTCCCATAAGAGCTTGTGCATGGCTGTCTCGATAATACGAGCAGGATCATAGACATTTTTTCCACTTGCTTCATAATACCAGTCAGGTAATTCTTCTCCTGTCTTGTCTAGAGCATTCACTGTCATCAGTAATGAAGTATTTAGCTGAAATTCAAGAAAAAACTTTAACATGAGAAAAAAATTTTTCTAGGAAAATAGAAAAAAAACCCTAAAAATTAAGGCCTGCATACATCTTTGTTAGAGACCTTGTAAGTAAGTTTACACTTATATCGGGTGCAACAGATGATCCGCTACCTTGGTTCCTGTACTTATTTTCAATACTTAACTGAAGACAGTTGATCTTCTGTCGCACTCTGAATGTGCGCAAACTTATGTGGCATTCCATTTTTGGATCGTTCACATTCGTTTTGTTTTATTTTGAATTCTAATCATTAATACAAGATTTAGTTTTTTCCGGCTGAGTCTTCACAACAAGAATACACCAAGTAAACTCTTAATTGAAATTTTTCAGAGTTTCCTGGATGATATGAAGTTTTTTTTTTTTACCTTGCTTATAATTTCAAGGAATAAAAAATACCTTCCACGTCTCGTCCATATTAACCACAAGATGAAAGTACATTGTTCTTCGCCCATCAGTACATTAGTACATTAATACCTAGTAATTATATGACTTCTCAAGGTCAGTCTGCATCTCGACTCATGAGAAAAAAACGTTTTAAAGATATTTCATAATAGAAAAACATGTTTGTATGTTCAACTTGCCATTTCAACACACCATCCCATTATCTGCGCTTTTCTTATGTTATTTGGTTCAACATCCTCTGGTGCAGCAAGTATCCTGTAAGACTGCAGTAAAGAAAGACCTCTTTTTTTCTCTCCTCCCTGTAAATTATGCTGTAATACCTGAAAGAAAACGATGCATGAGTGAGTTAACAGTTGAACTTTTTCTTAAGGTCTTACATGTAGGCGCACTATAATACTGTTTAGTGAAACGTAACCAAACACTGTTTCATTCAACACAATTTCCTTTAAAAGTTTGTGACTAACTTCGAAAATAAAAAAAAACTAGAAATTAATGTTGAGGTAAGTGAAAGTAAAAATTCAGGAATTCCTTTAAAATTTGCATCGTTTTTAAACTCAGAACTTTCTCATTTCTCTTTGAAAGAGTTCCCACTCTTTTTTTTAAATTACGAAGGAAAAGTTAGGAGGAAGTAGTACTTAGGCACCGAGTAAAAGGTAATGATCAAGTCTCTTATTTTTGTGACCTTTACGTACCTGTGCCAGCCATTTATTTGCAGATTCATATTCATACAATTTGTTATCTTGCGTAAGGTTCTGCACAATGTCTGGCAGTAGGGTGATGAAATTATGCAGTTCTTTTTTCCTCCAAGACTCGCGGGCTTCAATGTGTGCTCGGTCACTTGTCAAAGCAGCTTTTGGAAAATCTCTGTGTAAAGAAGAAACATCTCCTAATTAAAATGTATGTAAATAGGCAGAATCAGAAAAATTCTTGCTAGCACATAGTTTGTGCATTAAATAGAAAAAGGCTAGAAAGAAAAACTGGGAAAAATCAAAAATATTGAATCAAAGTATATTGTAAAGGACATGCTCAAATACTGGTCCTCGCCTCTAAACCATGATGACTCACTAGAATTCCTTCTTCCGCATTTATGGATCAGCTCTAGATAAGGTAAGTAAATCTCAAGTTGATAATTCTGTCTATAGATTTATATTAACAAAATAAAAATTCATAACAGTATTTCGTCAGCAGGTATCCTCTTTTTCAATGTTATCTCCCAAGTCGAATGAAGCTATCTGTATAAGCTTAAATACAAATATGCATATGGGTACTGGAAACAAATATGTAGAGTGATAAAGTGATATAAATCTATCAATAAGTACATGCTTTAGATAGTTCTTTTTCTTTTCTTTTGTGTGTGCGTGTGTTACTGATAAAGGTGTTGAATGAGTCAAATCACTTGCCTTGCCAACAAACATCAAAGACTCTGATTGCATTGTTGACTTCCATTTACACTATTGCTGTTTATCTGCTGTTTTTTCTTTATATTTTTTTCTCTTAAGTTTTTTATTGAACTTGTTTTGTTAACTACCATTTACACTTTTTATATCCACTTCGGAGGGGAGGGGGAAGGATTGGCTTTCTGAATCATATCAGAGCCACAAACAAAGGTCAGAATAAAGATCTGAACTTTTATTCAGTTTCATTAATTTTTCTCTCTGCAGCTTAGCTGCATATCCAAAATCCAATTTCCTTTTAATTGAACTTTTTTGTTTGGCTTCAGGATAAATAAATGTTGCTATAGCACAACTTTATTTACACTCATTTACCCAATGAGCACAGTGCAACGAACAATTGAAATAATTTTGCATTTCAATGCAATGCTATTGCAATTTTTTTTTTTTTTTTTTTTTTTTTTTTTTTTGCAATGAAACGCGTATGATAACTTATTCTTACATTGTTTGGACAATGAATTCCAATTTTAAACCATCAATAAATAATTTCCTTTTGTGAAAAAGGTAGGCAATTTGGTATGCAAAAAAAAATTGCAACTTTTTCAATTTTACTCCAATTAATTTCAATTAGAGGAGCCCCTGCAAACGGCGAGTAGACAACATACACTACACTCCGACACATTAGCCATCATTTTACCGTGTAGTTTAGTTTTAGTTTCTCAGAGTCTTACATTTGCCTTCAACTTACAAGATAGGCAAAGGCTGGTCCTCAGAAGCTTCAATAGTTGTACTCGTAACAACGAGGTTTAAACTTGCGTCGAGCGACCCAACCTAGCAGGGCCGGATTAAGGGGGTGGCCACATGGGCCGGTTGGGCCGCGGCCCATGGCGGCAAATGTAAGGGGCGGCAAACGCTGTAATTTTTTCAAATTTAGGTATCAAGAAAAAAATCTGATTCAGAAAAAAAATTACAGGCTAACTAAATAAAAGGCTAAAAAATCTCTCATTTCCTGAGAGTTAAAGTATAGTAATTTGTAATTTGTTCGTTTTTCGGTAATACAAGAGACAGCGCCTTTCATTAGTCTAGTTAAGAGCGAAACCAAACAAGCAGTTTGGCCTGGAGCGGCGCGGCGCAGAGAGCAATGATGACGAGGATTTGAGATGGAAAGGTGAAGCCCTCGGCGCGCCGGTCAGCATGGAACACACATTAGCGCCTACAATACTCCATGAATACTTCACGCACTGCGTCAAACGTAGTGCGGTCAGCAGCGGTTGGCGTGAAACGCATGGTGCAGATGCCTACAAGACTGCATGAATACTTCACGCATTGCGTCAAAAACAGTGCGGTCAGCAGCGGTCGCGTCAGCGTGAAACGCATAGCGCCTACAAGACTGTAGGGATACTTCAAGCATTGCGCCAAACACAGTGCTGGCGCGGTGGCGGAAATTAAAATCATAAAACCACATTCATGTTTATTCTTTCATAATTTTTTCGTTCTTTTCCTATAAATGAAAGGTCTCGTCCGGACTTAATTTTCGCGCAAAGTTCCGTGAACTTTTGCGAGTGTTGACAGGGCTTTCACAGAAAATGTGACCAACGCGAGTAAACACGTCTTATGACCTCCTCCTCTGGCACGTTCACGTTCACTTGATGGCTTGTATCGATGTTTCAAAAAGAATGTGAAGGGGCGGCAAAATACAGGCGGCCCATGGGCGGCAAGTTGGTAAATACGGCCCTGCAACCTAGATCATACCAGCCCTTTTTTTCGTAGTCTTCTCCTCTTTGAGCGCAAAAAAAAACAGGGTCTGAATGAAGAATGAACCATAAATCCCAAGTAGCAGTAATCGCAATAAGTTAAAATTTGATCGGAAAATGTACCGCGATTTTACAGACGTCAATTAATTGCAATATTATCGGATAAAAAATTGAAATGAATTGCGATTTCATCACTTAAATTTGCAATAAAATCGCGATTTTATCGACGGTGATTTGTCGCATTATTATTGAACAAAAAGTCGTGATCAATTGAGATAAAATTGCGACAAGATCGAGGATAATTGCCCAGATGTTGATGGTCATTGCGATTTTATCGTCAAAATTGTTTGAAAATATCGCTACTTAATTTCAAAATATCGCGATTTTTCAGTTGAAATAAATGCTACTTGGGTCTCCCTTGTAACGCTTTTGTTAAAAAAGCCCAGACCCTACTCCGAAATAAAATCACATCAGGTACCTAGCAGTATTTTCCCAATTTTTATTGGGTTTGCCCAAAACAGTATCGCCTCCCAAAATGCTGATATTCTTCTGAAAGTGGATTGTTACATAACGCTGGACTTCAACCCCTCTCCACCTTCTTATATAACTCGCCGTAACGCAAACTCAAAGTATCTCTACTTTCAAGTGCGTTACATCAGTAACGTAATCCTCAAGCGCTCTCAAAGGGGTTGATAACGACTATCATGTTATCATGTCGCCAGTCTTTCAAGATCTTCATTTCTCTTCGTAGGCGGTACTTTCCGATTTTTTTTTTTTTTTACTTTTTTTTACGAATTTTTATGACGAAGAACCAGAACTTATTGTTAGGCGGAACATTCAGTTTCCAATTTTGGTACCCCTGTCCCTCCTCTTCTACTTTAAATACGAAGTACGATTCCTCAAAGCCCAAACCCCTCAAATTAGGGTCTTCCCTGAAGGCTTTCAGACATTCATAATGAAAAATGTATGGTTTTTTTTCGGGGGGGGGGGGGGCGAATTCATTTTGGTTTTTTTTTCGAAATTCTCTATGAATTTTCTTCCTTTATTCAAGGGTATTCAAAGAAAATGTCAGAGAGGTATAAACTAGGTTTCTTCAATAAAACATAAATTAAATGTTCATCGGTGATTTTGAAATTTCAGGATGTAGGTGTAGGTTCAAATTTTTCGACTTTAGCCATCGATTTCCAAATTTACGAATCCATCGGTACGATACTCTCAACGTCAGGTACCGAGTCGATTGAAAATTTGTACGAGCCAATTTGATTGCCTCGTGAACTGGGCTCACTATCCACTATCCCNNCCCTAGATTTTTTCTCTCGTGTGGAAATTTGAAGAAAAATACATTTAAAAGTGAGATAATTTCCATCTCTGTGATATCATATAGCAGCGTGTCCCATCTTAACACGTGTATTGCGTCTGCTTACAATTAGCAAATCTAATCTCCGTGTAGTAATTTCTACAACAAGTAACTCTAAACACTCACCCTCGTCATTCCTACAGTCAAGGATATCCTCCGTGCCTAGCTCACTGAGGCTTTCTATCTTATTTGTAAATACAAATCATCAAATATCATCAAACACCTGCAAATTCGCGCGCACGCAGAAAATTTTTGATTATCTCTTTTTTCTCAGATTTGAGGGGCTCGGAGGACAAGATGCATAAGCGCAGTTTTTGCCATTACGAGAAATACGTGCTCTAAGTTTCGAAATGACACGGATCCTTAAATTATGGCGGAAAGAAAGTTCAAACTGACTATTTGGTGCTGAAAAATTGGAATTATTGGGATCGAATTTTTCACAGAATGCGCATTAAGATTAGTTTTACTTCATCAATATCTCAATTTTTTCAAAAACTGCTTATTTTAGGTACTGCTTTTAGTTAAAATCATCAATATCTCAATTTTTTCAAAAATTGCTTACTTTACTATGCTTTTACTTAAAATCATCAGTATCTCAATTTTTTCAAAAACTGCACTTATGCGCCTTGTCCTTAGAGCCCTTTGGTTATTCCCACGCCGTTTCCTCCCTCTCCCCCGTTTTTGCAACCCCCTGAAGAAGTTCTTTTCGCCTACCTGAAACAAGTCCTGGAGCTGTGGACATGCCGCGTGGCTCTGGTTGTCCCTCTGCGAGATAAAAGCTCACCGAAAAGGCTACACTTGACACACGTAAAAACGGACGAAACTCCGCGGAAAGACCCCTTCGTCATTATGGTACTCTGCAAAGGCGATGAATAAACTGGCCCAGGGAGTCCGAGCGATATCGAGGCGCTCGTCTCAAAATAATTACCCGCGCTGATAGCCGAGCCGCCGATAACGCCGGTGAACTTTCATCGTCAAAGCCTTCTTTGTTTATTTAGACAAACGTTACTGCAACGCTCAAAAATGAAGCTTTTTCCGAAATGCTCAAGATTTTTCTAGTAGCCATCCAAGTTCAGGGTCATCCTTGAATTACATCACGCTTTTTCGGGGCTTTTTTACACCATTTCCCACCACCCCTATACTGCCGTAATAAGGAAAAACGCCGTATGAACCTTCAGGCGTCGCCAAATATCTTATGATAAAACACGACTTTCCCGGTAAACTTATGAATATTTTTCTTCCACTTTTTCAGATAATTTTGTTCGCAATTTCACCCTGAGTTCCTGAAAATTTCAAGGACAAATATTCATAAATTTCCTCAAAAATAAACATTTTAGTGAAGGAAATTTGGCAACTCTCGAATGTTCGTACGGCGTTTTTCCTTAGCACGGAAGCATACCCCCCAGATCACTTACATTTCCATACAGCGCGATAATTCAATGTACGGATCAGGGTCACCATCATTTGGACCGCCTTAAGCAAGGAGGAACCAAACCACATCAGCTATTGCCAAATTTAATTAGGTATATTAATTTTGAACATGAGACCGGTTGTGCGGATTTTTGTGCAAATTTTAGAGAAATGTCTGCGCAGTGCGAGGAAAATTCCTCTAAATTTTCAAAGGCACAAACGTTCTCTCGTAAAAAATTAAATTTTCCAGTTAAATTTGGCAATGGCTGATGTGGCTTGGTCCCTCTCTGCTAGGTCCAAGTAAGGCCCATGCGGTAATAATATTATATTACCTTACTGTACAATATAAAATCATATTAGTGTAACGCATAACGCCTGAGACGCGGAGCGCTTCGGGGGTGGGACCGTGAAGCGGTCAGGGGGCGTACCCCCTAGTTTAGTTCATAACCTACGTAACAGTAGGGCGACAGTTTTCCGATGGTGTCTATTCTTTTTCAAACGCAAATTCATCCAAAGATCGAGGAAATGTTTTTTTAAAAATCGTCAGTTGGCTACCTCCTTCCACCCTCTGTAACGTGGCGCAGCTCTTGCAAATGGCCCTCCCTGCAGCGTTAATCGAATGGATGTATTTCTTCAGGAGCTAGGGTGCGTCTGGCTCCAGAAGAATTTTACGCACTTTTTGTACCAAGTACCTACTCTCTGGGAAGTATTTTGCACGATGGACAGTATTTTGCACGGAAAAATCAATGAGAAGTGTCTTAGCAGCACTGTGATAAAACTTTGATGAAACATTCCTAAATATAAAAGATGCTGGCAGAATCTTCCTCAATATACGCCCTGAGAAGATTGATACAAATTTGGAATATTTTGACCAAGTTTGATAATGGAGAAAGTTGTAGCCTGAGCTTAATGAGAATGTGATAATAGTCTGAACGCGGTGTTGCCTGATTGTGCAGCGATAAAAACCATGCAAAAATGATATTTTTGAAATCTAAGTGAAACCCAAGTTGCGCTGCAGTGTGCTGAACTTAATTTAGGAAATATCATTATAGACAATTATCTTTGCGATTAAATTATTTTACTTGAGGATGCAAGACGCACAATTCCTCGATTGATGACCATGGAGCTGCTTATCACATTCGTTTGAGCCTACCATTTCTAATTTATGATAACCTATTGACGCTGAAGACAAGTTCATCACAGCTTCCGTTGGATTCGATGATGGTCAGAACGCCTGCAACCTCAGTTGATGCAGCCAGCTTTACTTCCTGAGGAGTCGAAGGAATAGGTACTAACAGAACCTCCTCCATTTCAAATGCTTACAATTTCTGTAAATATGTACTTACTGAATAAAATTTCGCTTGACAAAAAAAAAAAAAAAAAAAAAAAAAAAAAAAAAAAAAAAAAAAAAAAAAAAAANAAAAAAAAAAAAAAAAAAAAAAAAAAAATGCGATCAAATAGACGAATCGGATTCTGCATGCAGGTCGACCCAAATTATCGGTTCTACCACGAAAGAACGTAACTGCATCTCGATGTAACCAAATTTCTCCTCACAAATTGCAACTATAACTGTAGGATCTTTGGCACATCTAACTGAAAATTTCACCGACTTTGAAAGAATGTTTACAAAAATCGCTCAAGCACATTCTTTTAAAAAAACGAAATGTTTGAGTCGATTTTGAATGAAGTTAGGTTCCTTCGTCTGGAAAAAGACGAAATGTGCAGTAGCAATTTGAGGTTTGTGGCTCCTTCAAATACAGCCGATACAAGTTTACATTCATCTAGTCCTAAAAATTCACTTTGAAACCGTGATAGATGTTGGTTGAGATCTCACATATATAATTCAATGGTATACCTACCTCTTTTTGCATATTCTGATTCAGGTAAATGACCTCCGGGAATAAGAGCTCATATAATAAAAGAGAAACAGACATTGAAAGATATGTTTTGACCAAAATATGTGATTTGTACAAATTGAAAATTTAAATATCCAGTAATGTCAGTATCTAATAAGTACTTACTGTTTCTCATTTGCAAACAGATTTGGATGCAAAACGTGCTTAAATTCTGAGCACATGTATGTTTCTCAATTCCAGAATTTGAGAATTGCCGTTCATCTAGGTAATGACTTTACCGGGACAATGTAGGTAAAGAAAGATCCAAGACTATTTCAAGTAAAATAATAAGTTGGGTACCTAAGTAAAGTACACGTTGTTTTTCCCCTTAAAAAATACGAGAGGAAATGTGCAACGTCGCAGTTGCACGTCATAGTGTTTAGCCATTGCAAATTCTTCGATGAAACCGTAGTATGTAACATGAAAATCATTCAGTTTCAGCTTTTAAGCATTTTCATTATAAGTAGGTATTCTATCCTGATGTAAACCCTCAGAAGTTTAGGAGTTTTCGAAATCAAGACATTTATCGTGTTGAGCAGTTTAGCCTACAAAGAGGAGTCTCCATACGTTATTTTATTTCCGAAAAAATATCAAGCAACCTTCATACGTTGCTTTATTAATTTTCCGAAAAGTTTTAGAAAACAGGAAGGAGCGGTATTTCACAAGAAGAGCGTAAAATTGAAAGTACCGCCAAGTAGTTCTGCCCAAATTTTGAAAACTCTGCGACCAATCACAGACGTTCAAACGATTGAAGCGCTCAACAGTTTTCGCGGATGTTTTCTGTATCACTCGCCGAACGAATTCCGTCAATCTCAATGTTTGTTGAATCTTAGTGCCGAAATTCAAGTGATCTTTTGATTTTGCGGTGTTACCTTGGTGACTTTTGAAGGATTTCAGTTTCGAAAACCTTCTAAGATTAGTGATAATTGTGCTGCTTGGGATTTGACGGTCGCGAATCGTCTAGTGATCGGAGAAAACCGAAATTTGTTTTCCTCGTGAGTGTGTATCAGTTCGCCATATTGCCCCTGTGTTTTTAGGTGGATCCAAAAACCTGTCAAAAACTCATCCGTTTCGGTCATCATCTTCTACTGAAGCGCCCGGATAACATTTTGGATCTAATTTTGTCCTGGTATGTTTCACACTCACTAGCTTTCCAACTCAATAACTCTTTGCCCCATGCATGCTGTGCATGTGGAAGCACTCATGTAGAAATCACTCATGTTTATCTTTTCTATTGAATCATTTTGAGAAGTACTATTCTGGCTGCTTCAATTAATCATTTTTACACTCAATTGTTCACCTTTACGTTCTCTAGAAAATTGGAGACTTTATTGTTGATTGCCTCAAACTTTGAAATGGCTGCATCGTAATTGTCATGTTTCTCGGAGCGCATGGCTCAGAGGGTTCTTTAGCCTAGGCTTTTGTACTGTGGGGTGGTTTTTCAACCAGGTTTTGCCAAGTAATCTTGTTGGAATGTAGCTCTTCAGTAATGAGATCTTTAAATGTTATACATCTTGTTTCAATGGAGCAGGACTACCATGTGAACCGCTCTAAAACGGTGGTAGTTAACGATGGTCTTAGCCCGCTTCACTTTCCATCTAGTCAAAATAGTTAAATTTTACTGAACTTTGGCACTAGATAGGTAGTTTGCCGAGTTTATCATTGATTTTAACTCTACAGGCGCTCTCTGAGACTGGGCTATTTTGACAAGCATTGAACCATTTTAATCTAAGTAGAGCTTATGCTAAATTGTTTGACCGTCTAAACCTGCAATCTCACCAAACTCCATCCATTAATGCAGTCGTTCTGAGAAGATTCAGAACATAACCTGCTTTCACACATGAGCAGAGTTGTTGTACCTATGTTGAGACAAAAGTAAAGTATTGTTTTTGTCACCTCCCATCAGTGGTGCCATCCAACTGCATTTATTAACCTGTTGAGTGGTGCTGATTCAGAGCTGGTCAATGATTGACTTTTGTCTCAACACACGATAACTATGCTCTAATCCTACTAAGTGGAACCTTTTCCACTTGAGGGCCAGATACACCTGCACGCTACACATGCATCTTGACCTGACAAGTAGGATCCTATCCTACTTTAAGCGAGTTGCAACCTTATTGGCTATGAAGATAGCTGAACTTGGCTGAAGGCGTACTCGCCACTCAAGATGCGCGTCTAGTTTGCAGGTGTATCTGCCCCTTTAGAGGAGAAGGGCTGAACTGCTGGAGTATTTCACTATCATGCCAAGCAAAAACCTCGGTACTATATCTCAGAGTTAGGAAGTTTTTCCCAGAGACAATGCCTCGTCTTAAAACCACCTGAGCTTGTTAAGTACATTGCTTGTATGTGCAAAATATGTAGATATCTCACCAGTGTTCTGCTATCCACTTAAAATTTCAGCCGTCACCTCTGCTGGAAAGCCCAATTTTTAGGAGACAGACTAGCGTTCTGCATATCGACGGTGTAAGTTGGCAATCACATAACTCGGTTTGCGACGTCGCAGACTTCCTGTCATACGATATTTTTTAAACGGAAAACTACTCAACAGCAATTCTTTAAAACTTCCGTGATTTTTCTTCTCTGTGCAA